TTCTTTTCTCTGCCAGAATGCAAATTTTAGATTTCACGTTTTTAAATGAGGTGTGAATACTCAAGTTTGAGCCAACTTGCACGTTAATATTTTCGTACAGGCACTGGCTAAGTAAACTTAGTGTTAATTTGAAATTCTACCTTTTGAGTTACACCATATAAATGCAGGCTGATTTTTTGAGCACCAAAAGTTCCTGTTCAATTATTTGAGTTCTTAATAAAAGGATCTTTTACATCTTCGTTACGTTTCTGTTTGGCTTCTAGACGTAGCGATTATTCGCTTCGTTCTATTAGTCTGGACTTGGAGTGACCAAAAAGAGTGAGACTAAGGAATAATATATCTAACTGATATAATTTTAATCCATTTTCATTTATAATATGTTCAACTATTATTATGATGAATATTTTCATCATTTTTTGTAATTAACCATCAAGTTATTTCTGACACCTTGTATTCCGTACATCACGACTCAACCGTTTACTTTTAGCCATCATTATGTGTTTCTGCACTTTTATGAAAGTTGTCCATCGCTCGAAGGGTCCACCTTCTTAGGGGAGCTCAGTCGTGAAGGTGCAGGGAATTTTATGCAAGTGATCAACTGTTTGAAAAGACAACCTGCATACGGCTATCGCGCCACAAAGGTTCTTGCACCTTTATGTAAGTCGTGCATTTTTCGAGAAGAAAGAAATACGTACAGGGTTATTACCTCAAAGGTTCTGCTACACCGATGGAAGTCCTCCGGCATTCGAAAAGACTGGATTGGATTGGATTATTTAATTAAGGCAAAGCACACGAGGGCTATCTGCCTAAAGAAAGGGATGCCTTCGTGGAGGACTTTCTAAGGGAAACTGGCTCGTTATACACGTTACACATGGGGAAAACCACGAAAACGCCCATGCAGCCAGCCCGTTCGCGGGATTTCGAACCTCAGACCGAACTACCAGTGTTCAGCGTCTTTACCGCTCGGCCGCTGGTGGGCTTCGGAAAGACTGAGATTTTCACATGACCGCTCTGTCATAAAGACTCTGTCGCCTTTATGCAAATCGTCTATTATTCGAGAAGAGAAACTCATACACGACTACTTAGCTCAAAAAGGTGCTGGTACACTTTCATGAATTTTTTCGAACATCAAAGGACTCATGCAAGTCCTTTGGTGTTGGAAACGATAGAAACCTTCGTTATGACCGCCCTGCCACACAGGTGCGACACATCTATATAAATTATTCTTTTGACGAAAAGACAGAAACCCTCATGAATGTGCCAGCACATTTTCATCTGAATCAATGCTAACTTCCTAGCTTGGAAAGAGAATTTTTGACTCGACTTTCATTTCAGTGTCCAAACTCTAAATGAATTGCAACGAAAGTAAATTTGCACTTGAAGCATAAAAATAAAATAACATAAATTTATTTTCGCTTCTCGGAGAAATAATAACGCAACACAATATTTAAATCATACACAACGCACAATTTTAAATTCTATCCTGGCACCTATTTTTCACGAACTATTACTCAGCAGTAAAGGCGGAACTCACAAAATGATAGGAAATACCCCGCTGACTATTTACGGGAAACAGAGGAATACCTGTTGACGTTGTCAGTTTTCCCTCTCTGGACTTAGATTCTTATTCCTGATTATAGCAATATTTTATTATGAAAAACTACCATCGAATTTATCACAATTCGAAGTCGAAATTGTTGCCACGATTAACTGACTAATTTATTTAAAAATGGAGAATGAACTTAGCATTTATAAGTATTTATTTAATGTCTGTAACAGCAAATGAAGAATATTTGTATTTTAAAATACTATCATACAATTTATCAAATGTGAAAAATATGACCATTTTTGAAGGACTCATTTATTTAAAATGAAAAATGAGTTAGAGAATGAATACAAGAAGACAATATAACCTAAAATGATGAAAAGCGTGACTGATAAAAGTCACTTAATAAAATAAAAATTAACAAAAGATCATCATACAGGTAAAAGCTTAGTATTTTCAGTTAAGAGGCAAATATTTAATTCTCGATCTAGACGTGCATTCTAAGTTAAAAATATATCGTTCGAAGTAAAATAGTACCAAACGAAGCGTGTCGCATTCAGTGTTCTCGTTTAAATTTATATGTACTCTCTTCTTTATCGCCACAAAACTTCTCTTTAACTTGCAACTAGATCAAATGTAGAAGAGTTGGAAAAGCATGTTTTGGGTTCATTTTCTTTTTAACCTGACCCATAAAGGTTTTATCATCAAATTACACGCGAATGCTGGAATCTCTATAATTTAGTTACACGATTTCGGAGAGAATATATATATATATATATATTATTGCTACGAATGTATTTAGCTTTGAACTTTAGAAAACTTGAAATTAAGGGAGCGTGACTTCGCTTAGTTGCCAAATAATCGTGTTTTATATCGCGATAATTTTATGCGGAATAATTTAACTTAGTTTTAAAAAGTTTGGTAGCGTTCTTTATATTATTATAAGATTTCGCGTAGTTCACTTATTGAATAAGTATTTATAGTACTTATATTTCTCTGGGGCTCGAATTTTCTCATCGGTTTTTAACCTACTTCATGATAAGCTATGGAAAAACAAGGGAGGGGAACAGTTCTATATCTCTCATTCTACTGGACCAATTGACGAAATTTAACTTGTGTTTTTCATGTCTCGACAACGTGACTTAGGACATATATTAGATTTATATATTTCGTTGCTCTAACATAGGTATTTTGAGACAAACGCGGACTTTTTCTGAAATAACATACCATTTTTTATTTTCATTTTTACCATTACCTTAAAGTAGAGGAATTTCGAGGTATACATACAAAAAATTGGAGCTTTTTATTCAAAATTTCATATGATTTGCGTGAATTTACATATTGGCACAATTTGAAATTTGGCATATTTCATATAAGCAATGATAACGCCCAACGTGGTTTAAGCACTTTGCTAAAAATTATTTGAAGAATTGAACGGTGCACTTTTTCCCCCCCCCCTGCTCGTGCACAGTGAAAGGGAAAAGAAAATAGGTTATCATAAATTAAGAGTTTCGGCAAGTGAATTATTCTCTGCGCAAACTGAAAAAAGTGCTGCAAGGTAAATTTTCAAATTTTCGGTAAATTTCACACCAAATTAAAAAAAATTAATATTTAGGGAAAATTTGAGTTGTAAAATCGAAATATGAAAAAAAAAAAGGTATATAATTTCAGAAAAATTCCGATTTTGTGTCAAATTACCTATTAGAGCAATGCTTTATATAGATCTAATATACATCCTAAGCTCCTGAGACAAGCTGACCACTTATCCAGATGCACAAGCACTTCGGAGCACACGGTCTAGAAAACAGACATCAGGGCACTACCGGCCATGGCTCTCTAAGGGCTGTTTGTGCCGCCGAGTTTAGTTTAATATATTCTAAGCAGCGCTTTCGGGACATGAAAAATGCAAGTTAAAATTTCGTTAATCGTTTCAGTAGAATGGGAGATATAGAAATCTGCCCCCCCCTTTTGTGTGTGTGTGTGCAGAGTGTATACGCACTGTTAGTTGACGGACAATGTGGTGAAGGGATTATTTTCAAAATTCGATTTAGATTTTTTTTTATTTGATGTTTAAACCATTTTTGGCACATACCTTGGTTTAACGAGCAAACTAAGCAGATTAGAATTCGATTCCTTGAATTATTGAATACAGAGGGAAAATGCAGATTGTAACTTAATTTCCTATTTTTGGAAATCGTTTCATTTTTTAAGACTATTTGACACTCATGATTGAGAATTTTCAACATATAAAAATGGATCGACTATAAAATTTTGGAAATTTCACAGATTATAACACACACTTTTTATCCTCCCTTATGATTTTGAAGTAATGACTTCCTTTGACAGTTTGAAATCCTTGTTGAAAAGAAAACGTTCGACTCTATGGCAAACAAAGTGGAACGACCCAGATTTTAAAGAAAGATTCACTTATAATTTAATCTCAATTGTAAGTCAGAGAAGATGCTTAAGTATCTAAACAAAGCTTTAACTACCAGATATTATCAGCAATATTTTCGTTTTGGTAGTTCCGATAATGTAATGGCAGACCGCAAATGGAATTAGCAATATCATACGAAATTCACTTACAGCGCATGCTGAAAAGGAACTTTTGTCGCCAGGAGAAATGAAACTAAATTTGCAATTTGTTTCGTTTGTGTAGGACTGTAAACTCATGTCAATTGTTTGTTATTCGGAATCAATTTTCAGGTCAAAACGATGTGTAAACGCTATTTCTCATTTCATTCTATACAGAAATGCAAAAATACTCGATCATTTCGCATTCGGATCATTTGCTTGTTGATTTTAGCGTTAGTGTATGTATACTGCATTTAGTTTGTTAACTTACGTTAAATCTTGGGCTAATTGAAACCCATTTTTAAGTTAATCTGTTAACAGTAAAATTCTGTCCATTATTAAATAGATGTCGTTGCCAGTTGACAGGACATAAAATCATTCATTTATCTTCATTACCATACATATATATATATATATTATATATATTTCCTAAACAGTATTGATTAATTGATTTATTATCTCCTAGTTTAATTAAAGTAGAATTATTTAAAAAGTGTGCATCCATACTGGTAAGTTATATTTTGAAAGATGCTTCTTTATATATTTCTTTTTTAAATTTCGCTCGAGACAATTATTGTGTTTTCTATTCACAATATGATTACAAAAAAAATGCAGAAATAAAACTGAATTAATTTTAAAATTGAAATTCTTTTTGTGTGTTAATATTTTTTCAGTTGTAAAGATCCAGTCTTGTGAGCTGACAAAAGCTGTTGTTATTTTGTTTAAGAAAATATGCGCAATAATTGTGAAACATTTAAAATTAAAAAAAAAAAAATTTAAACTTTTCGTCGAAAGATAAGATTGTCACCTAAACTTTTCTGAGAGCAAATTATTTTTATTTCTTTTTTAATTTTTTCGTTCTTAATATATATTCTTTAAGAAAATTTGAGTCATTTTATTAATTCACAGCGTTAAAAACTTACTTATAAAATACATAAACAAGAAATCATAAAAGCATCCTGATATCGAAAATACATTGCATAAATAAAAACACGGTTGACAGGGACACAGTTTATTTTTCTACACTTTTAAGATATAATTTAGGGAGGGAAACCTGAACTTTTAGATCTAAAGTGGCATTTTATGAATTTTCGTTGATGGCAGGTAGATTAATTTTCCTTCAATTAATCTCACGTGGAACTGATCAGATTTTCATATTTTACATTTAATTTATTATTCATGATATTCGCAATAATAAAAACTATAATAGCCTAGAATTAAAAGAAAATGTAAAAGTTTAGAACAACAAAAGAAAAAATAAATATCATCGTTAGAAAAGGCTTAAAAATATTAAAAAGATTGAATGGCATCAAGAGCTTCTTGTAGACAAGCGCACGTAGAAGTTATTTCCTCTTTCCTCCGGAATTCGTCATCACAGTCTTCCGTCAAAGAGTTCTAGAAGGGGAAGGTGGAGTAAGAAGAAAATATAAGTTAGGAACTTTATATTTACAACAAGAAAAACAAACACGAAAAAGTCAAATTACCTATCGAGATTCAAAAAGTTGATCTTTTGAAAATAAAGGTTAAAATAAATAAAAAAGAGTAGACTGAAACGTCAGGCAATCTATCAATGCAATGATTCTCTAACTTTTTATCCCGAATATTGGTCATAAAATGCTGCTTTGACTTAAGACCCTGTTAACACTCATAAACCCTGATGAATATCCAGAGGTCTAGAAGCCTAAAGGACTCCTATTCAGAGAACACTTTGGCTTTCAAATCCTCCACACTAGTTTATAGAAAAATATCGACAGTCAATATGTAAGGTATTTTCTTCTTCCTTACCGCATGCCTTCGTGGTATAATTTGAAAGCACTCGCGAATAAAGTTCCGGAGTTCGAATCCCAGCAAGAACGCTGCACATTTTATGTTTACTGCTTCGAAAAGCCTAATGACTTTGGCTAACGATAATTCGACCACCAGCGTTTGACGGTCGGGTCCCGACCTCTCCAGTCGCTTTATAAGCTTCTTTAATACAATGCTTTTAAAATTATAAGACACCTAAATCGAGCTTAGCAGCAACCACACCTTGCTACGTCACAAAAACTGGCTTAAGGACTTTGCTTTAAAATTCTAATTTAATTAATGGGAAATTGTATAGCAGCCGACCAGCCAAAGGGAAGCAAACGTCGATCGGCGGTATTCGCTGAGTAAATTACACATTTACTGATGCACAACTTTTTCTTCCCTGATTGGCTACGATTTAAACCCTGTTAAACAGATGTGTATGGATTTAATAACTTTTATGCATTAACTTTTTCCGGTACGCTACCTTTTAAAGTCGGAGTTTTGATTTAAAAAAAAAAAAAAAAAGGTAGGCAGTCTAATTAGGTCTACAGCAGTACACAAGTAAAATTCTGTGAAGATAGCACTTATCGTTTTAATTCTGTGGGTGTGCCCAAAGTGGCACACTGATTGAACACTGATTGAAAGTGGCACACTCGATAGGTAGAGCTATGAAAAGAGTGCTGAAACAAGCATTGTTGTCAATGAACTGACCGATGAGATGCGGAGAACAAAGAATACAGACTCTCAGTTGTCCTAGATTATCGGTGAGAACGGTCTGGGCACACCTAGGGTTCACCGTTTGATTTTAAGCAAGATTTCAAGGTAAAAATTTAAAACTAATATAGAATAAAGAGATTAGCATACAGCCAAAAAAATAACATAGAAATTTTTTTTTCAAACAATTCCTTTTATACCCTAAAAAAAATCTAGAAGATTTCTTTGAAAAATGAGGGTCTTAAAAAACTAAACATGGCTAAAATATATGGATTTGTTTGTGTTGAGCTGCCATCTACTATAAATAAAGAAGGTTCAGAGTAACCTATAGTAACCTATAAATCCTTTTTCATTCAATTTTTCTGTGCGTACAGAAGGAAATTTTTAGGTATGTCTAGATCGGACACACTGTGCCGCAAAGGGTTAAACTATAAAGCGTTATGGTGACAAAAACCTTCCTCTGAATGGACCTCCAATGAAATTTTAAACGGGATCAGTGATCATAAGGGGTCGATAGCCAAATATGCACCGACAACTGATCGACGTAATCAGGATCTCGTTAAAAAAATAATAACAAAATTTATAATTAATTATTTATTGATGTAAAGCTGTGTCATTTAGTAAGGAAGGTATCATATGTAAATATATATAAAAATACATTAAAATTAGTTTATAAACTTTAAAAAATAATAGTATTTTTTAAATGCCATAAAAATATTTAGGCAATAAAAGTAATATTTATTATTTGCCAAATGCCAGTTACATTGGCCGTAGGCCATTAAACTCCTTGCTTGCCAATAGCGCTGAAATCTACAAGAAAAATTTGTCAGTGCTTGACACTCGTCCAAATGTTCCGCCGTCATTGGCCGTCCACTATTACATAAAACACACAACGGCGAATCAGCTAGTCCAATGCGAAATAAATGATTCTGTAGAAGTCATGTCCCGTCAATAGTCTAAAAGATGCAACCGCAACTGTTCGCGGATGGTCAGGAACAAAAGCTGGGTTTGATGAGAGAACACTCCAAGGCTTGCCCTCATTAGCCCGAGTGGCAAAATCTCTAAAAGTCTTTTGATATGTTAGCGATGTCAGAAGCTTAATAGCATGGAGGCTTGCACTCGTTTTTGGCTTTTGGAGAACCGTAGCCCCCTTTTTTGCAAACATATCAGCCATCTCATTCCCATAAATACCGCAATGTAAAGGTACCCATTGAAAAGATATCTTGTGGGAAAGTTCTTTTATTACTGCCTGACACTGTTGAACGCATGTGTTCTTACACTCTTGGTAAGAGGAGATGGCCTGCATTGCTGAAGTCGAATCAGACAGTACAAAAGCCCTCCTGAACGAGCTCTGTCTCAATGATAATTGTTGGAGAGCTACATGAATGGCTTTCAGTTCTCCATCATAGCCCGAGTGGCAAAATGGAGTGGAGTAAGCCCCTACAGTTATGTAGAAGCTGAAAAGCTTGCTAAAAACTGCAGCTTCAGCCCCCTTGAATCCTATCGGTCAAAGAGCCATCCGTATATACATGTATCCATTCCTCAGCCGGAATACGTTGCTCAGTTGTTTCCAAAGCTATAATTCTCATTTGCTCTGGACTCATTTCCTTCTTATCAACTTTCATTTCTAGGTCCAACCGCACATCAAGGAAGCTATAATCCAACCCGGATTTAGCAAAAACAGCAGTGCCGGTTTCAGTGTTCTTAAATGATTGTATTGTTCTAGGCGAGAGACACACTGCAGAAAGCCATTTCGTGTCTTCAGATTTCGTTGTTTATTATAATCATAATTCCTCCAATGAGGGTTACTTGGTAGACGAATAAGTCTCTGGAAAAGGATGAAAGCATTTTTCTGAATCAGGTTTGTCATTGGTTGGTTTGCCGATACCAACTGCATTGCCAGAATGGGAGTCGTTTTAACAGCCCCGGTTATAATGTACAGTGCCTGATTTTGGAAGACCTCCAGACGTTGTATCACATCTCACGTAGCCGAGATCAATATCTCACAGCAATAATGTAGTATTGGTCGAATATACATTTTATACGTCGAGTTGAGAGTCTGTCTACCACAACCCCATTTAACACCAGCTAAGCGTTTAAGGATAGGTAACCTACACTGCGCCTTAGCAACTGCCTTCTCCAGGTTAGGCGCTTGTCAAAAATACCGCCAAGATGGGTGGCACCATCCGTCTGCTGCAAAACCGACTTCTCATACATTAGTCTAGGAGTAAAGTGTTGTCTGTTGAGAGCACATTGATTGTCTAATGGAATGCGGGTGGTTTTTCCCAAGAAAAGAAAACACAGCTTATGACTGAATTAAATAAAAATAATATAAAATATAAAACGCAAGAGCACAAAAAAACACAGTTAAAAAGAACCCCGAAGAAAGCAAAACTAGAATGGAAAACAGGTTGTACTAAACGTATGTTTTCCAAATACGTTTAGTATAATGCTTTTAAATTATACTAAAAATAAAAAAATTAATGATAAAAATTTTAAAAAAATTATTACTACAGAACAACATGCAACAAAAGCTTTTTTTTTTTTTAAGTCAAAAAACAACGGTGAAATTTCTTTAATTATTTAAATATAGAACCTATTCTAATTTCACTTAAAAGAAGGAAATGAAATTATTATTTTTCTCCATTTAATTTACCAGTGGAGTAGCGAGCATAACTGGCGCCCGGAGCAAAATACCTTTTTGGCGCATTCCCCCCCCCCCTAGAAAATATAAGATATGATGAAAAAATGTGATGAAAAAAGTGATATGATGAAAATCTTGTTTGGAGACTATTTGGCGCCCCTCTGAGAGCAGCTCCCGGGGCATCATACACCCCCTTGCCCCCCTCGCTACGCCACTGCCATTTACATACGCTTTAAAGCTAAACACATAATCGTACTTTTATTAATATTTTAAATTTAAATTAAATTATTTTTAATTCGTGTAATACAAAAATTATAATTAATCTGCATTTTACTGAAACAAAACGTACGTCCCGCTCGTTTACTAAAGATTAATAATAAAATTAACATATATCATTCATATTTTGCAATAAATTATGATTTTAATGAAGTACATACGAAACAAAGAAAAATTGGTAGTGAATATACATAAATAAATTAACAATTTTACACCGCCTAAGAAAGAAAGAAAAATCTGACAGAAAAAGTGGAATGCCGGGTAGCCGGGTAGATGAATTCGAGCAATTAGAATTCTATGTTATAGACAAATTTTAAAAATCGATCATTTTTCTTTTCAATCACAATTTAAAATACTATTTTACAAGTGGCGCCATCTGTCGAGTAAAATAGTTCTGAACTCAATCATATCCTTGCAAAAATGACAAGTAAGAAACACACAATGATTCCGCAGCCATTTCTATTGATTGAAATGGAACAGGCATTTGGAGTCGTGTGCTTTTGATTATTATGTTACACATCCAGATTATAGTTTCTTAACATGGCAGCAGCAATAGTAACAGTAGTAATACAGCAATAATAATAACAGTAATGAATAACTGTCAAAGAGTGCCTCTTTCGATTTTAAAGACATTGACTCTATTGTAAAGCTTTTTTGCGGAGAAGAAAAGACATTTCTTAATGAAGAAACTAACTAAAATTTGAAAAAGAATGCAGCGTATAATTAGATATTTGAATAAAAAATTTAAGTTGTAACATTAGCTGAATTTGAACAAACGAAAGCTGTTGTTTCTATTTTGAAATCTAAATGTTTTTATGTTCGAAATTTGTTCTCTACAAAGGCAGTGTTGGACGTAGAGATATCTTCTTTTTTTTACTCTTTCCCACTGCTCCAAAAAAAAAAAAAAAACGGAAACCCTAAATGGGGAGAAATGGAGTTATAGCTACAGTTAGCACTTTGAGGCTATTATTTTAACAATTAACTTTTGGACATTTATAAAATGAAAATACTGGATGAGGTGTGAAGATTTTAGATTTATTTTCATGTACAGAAGAGTTAAGATAAGAAGAATTAATGGAATTTTCGGCAAATCAGGATATCAGGAATTCTGGCTGCAAAAATAAACATCTTCAGTTCATCCAGCCTAATTTCTCTTCCCGTATTTAACGGGGAATTTGAAGCATTCATATATTTTTTGACAAAAAAGAGGAACAAACTGCGAACTATTCATCGCGACAAAAGTATGGAGCCAAACTTGAAAATCGGCCATTTTTAGATCAAGCCCTGACCTCCCAGGAATAAGAATTTTTAAGAATCTTTTATTTCCTTCTGCCCGATTCCATTTTTGTTCTTTATTTTGATATATAATTTTGAGACTCCCAGTTCCTACTCTTTTTTTTTTTTTTTTTTTTTCCCCGCTTTCAATTATTGCATGCACTACACCTAGAAATCTGTATAACAGCCATAATTTACCGGATTGGTTTGATTTATTTGATTATGGCAAATCACGCGAGGGCTGTCTGCCTAAGATGGGATGCCTTCGTGGAGAACTTTCCAAGTGAAATTGCCTCATATCCACGTTACACATAGGGAAAACCATGCAGCGAGCCCGTTCGCCTAGACTCGAACTTGGGTTAAACAGCCGGTGTTTAGCAACTTTAACATTTGGTCACTGATGGGCTTAATTTACCCGAAGATGGTGTGTGTGTGTGATTATGACAAAGCCTCGAGGGCTATCTGCCTAAGGGGAGGGATGCCTTCATGGAGGACTTTCTAAGGGAAACTGGCTCTATACACGTTACACATGGGGAAAACCACGGAAACGCCCATGCAGCCAGCCCGTTCGCGGGATTCGAACCTCAGACCGAACTACCAGTGTTCAGCTTCGGCCGCTGGTGGGCTACCCGAAGATGGAAACCAATTGTTGTTATTATTATTACTAGCAGCAGTATTACTATTATTACTATTACTAGCATTGGTAGTATTACAATTATTACTATTATTTCTATTATTACAGGTAGCGGCATTATTATCTTTATTATTACTGGTAGCAGTAGTATTACTATTACTACTAGTAGTAGTAGTATAACTATTATTATTACTAATAGTAGTAGTTATCATCATTGTAGTAAAAAGTAGTAGAAGCGAGGCATAAATTTTGTCTGTTCCGGTCAACCAGTCATACAGGTTACTACTGACAGCATGTAATTTAACCAATTCTTATTTAATTACATTACTGATTTGGCTTCCATTTCCTATCTCTACAAAAATCTATAGTAATAGTAATCGCAGCAGCAGCAGTATTAGTGAAAAGAGGAGTGGGGATAGTAATCTTCGTCATCTTAATAGTCGTCAATAGTAGTGATTATAATTTGGTTCGTTAAATTAATATGGCAAAGCAGATAAGGACATTTGCCGAATACATTCAACTCCTTAGCCAGATAGGGAAGGAAGGTCTTCGTGGAGGTCTTTCTAAGGGAAACTGGTCCCATGTGTAACGTATTACATTACATATGGGGAAAACATGTAAACCGACTTCTAAAACCAAACCAGCAGGCCTGGATTCTAACCGGCATCGAACTACTAGGATTCAGCCGTCTTAGCCGTTCAGTTACTATTGGGTTTAGTAATTGTAGTACTAAGTAGTAAGAATAAAAACGGAAGTAATAAAAATAGCCATGGAAAGAGGCGCTGATGAGAAAAAGAAGAACTTTGAAAAGAGGGCATGAATAAAATTTTGCAAAATTAGAGTAGGAATTAAAAAAAAAAAATCACTTTCTAAAACACAAGTGAGAAATCGGGGTTTGAATCAGAATGAAGCAGGATTAAATTTTTGCTCTAGACTAAATTAATAAACCTTACGTAGCTACTCCTAGCTCTCCAGTTGGTATCTTAAACCTCTTTTAAAACTGGTTTCTCTAAAATTTTTCAAAATCCTCCATGGTTGGTGAACTCTTGTCTCTTGCATTCTACTGCATTTACCAAAATGTAATACCTAAATCGATTTTATTTGAAATATAATTAAAAAAATTACAGTATTCAACAATTTGTGTGATAAGTTTTTAACATCAGTTTTCTAGCATATTGTTTCATAGACGGCACTGCGATTGTCACTATCTTTACCTTTGTTCAACTTTTTAGTCCAAAGGGATTTGAATCCCGAAGGACTATAAGTTTCGTTTTGGCATTTTGCGTCGGACTCATAAATGTCGGTTCACTTTTCAAACTGTTGCCACAAAATGTTAGAGTCCTGCATTATATTGAAGAAATTAAATAATGAAAAATCTGCAAATAATGTATGTATATTATATTTCTCGTATTGTGATAAAACAACGGTAGAGTCATCGAATTTTGAATAACGTAATCCTCCAACGAATATGAGCATGTGGAAGACCAAATTTGAAATTTGAAATTTGTTTTATGATCGATTTCCTATTTTTTAAAACTTTGACGAATTTTTGATTAACAAACTCAAGGATTTCAAAGCGAGCAATGGCAACGTTGTGCAGAAAAAAACATTTTTATCTCCAGCGCGTGAGTCTCTGTATCGGAAATTCTAAAGATATGCTCGTTTTAAAACTATTTTGCGATATTGCTGTTGCACTGGATCTTATGGTTTAAGTGCGAGGAACATGATATTTAATAAAGAAAGGTAACACACAAAATGTTAAAAAACGCCCCTTTGGACGTAATTTAAAATCTGAAACATTTCAGTTTTTTTTTTTTTTAAATGGTTTTTTTTTTTTTTTTTTTTTTTTTTTTTAAATATATTTCCTATATATGGTTTCTTTCCGACACAACCTTTACCATAAAACTGACATTTGTCTAACTTTAATTTTAATTATTGTAATTCTTATACGCATTTGCTATTAATAAATCTTATATAGTTAGTATTTTTATACAAGGGATAGTAATAGAGTTTGTCAAATGTCTGTAGGGTTTTATTTAATTAACTAGCTATGATGATCTGAATTTTTATTTAACTTCTTCTTTTCTTAATCCTCCTCAGAACGCAAGTTAATTATCGAGTATTTAAGACGACGGTTTGAATATTTTAGAGTTATATGTTCCTCAAAGTCTAAGCTGCTGCTAGTTAACAGGCGCAAGATTCGTCAAATAACAAGCGTGTAAATAATGAAAGTGGTTTGGGGGTTATCGTTAACCAAAAGCTCACATGGACTTGCCATATTAAGCACGTCGTGGAAAAAGCCTCTGATATTGCCAACGAACTTTGTGTGCAGCTCAGAAGCAAGTCTGGGCTGTCTCTCAAGAAGAAAAGAAGGATTTACCTATGCAATCTTAAGGCCAGTTTTATGTTGCGAATATCCAGCGTGGGGCCTGAGCCTCAAATGCTGACTTCCACAAACTTCATGTCATACAGAATAAGATTCTGAGAAGAACTACAAATGCTCATTACCCGATTAGAAACAAACTGATCCGTGATGACCTGAAAATCGACCTTGTAGTAGACCACATTACGAAACTCAAAACGCGTTTCTTCAGCGATAGACTTCAGCGATAGACGCGTTTCTTCAGCGATAGCTGTGAGATGCAAAATTTTCGAAAGTTTTTAACTACCAAATCATTTCAGAAGATAATTTGGTCAAGCCATTTGCTACAGACATGATTAGAGAGCCCAGTTTTGAAACATAGACGGACTGTTAAAGTTTATTTATTATCCTGGTGTGGCGTGACTTTTGCCTGTCGTCGCTTTCCATCTGTTTGGCTACCTTGCATTACAGAAGTTGATAGTCTCCTTACCTTGACCTGACTTTCTTGACATTTCTTGGAGATTCACCTGGTAGCTCGTCGAAGTCATGTGCACTCAGAGGCTAAATTTTCTTATCTAGCTTGTTAAACAGTTTCATAATCCGTATCCATTTTAGATTTAGACTTTCTTGCAGCCATGTATTTCAGTTACTTACTGTCGCCAACTCTGCAAAAGTTTATTTCTGCTTCAGCCATCATACTAGCCAGCTTTAAAAGCGAGTCGTTAATTACTTCAGACATCTTAAGTGGACTATTTTAAGTGTAGTCGTGCCGCCCAACCGGTATAGACGTTATCGTTCCTGATTGCCGTCCCGAAAGGCCCGGGTTCGAATCCCGGAGAAGGTATGGATGTTTGTAAATGTATAGTGTGCGTACAACATGAGCCGAAAGTTCTGTTGAGAGGTTAGTGGTAGAGGAAGAGGGGTCGGGCCACTCTCGTACCCTTCCTACCCCCGGGGCACTCTCCATAAAACTTGGAGGCGGAACTGCGCTAAATCGCTCTGTCAACTGTAAGGTGCTCAAGCCTGTTGCCAACGACAAGCGTAAAACTTGCGCTCCTTGCCACGAGGAATTTCCTGGGTTTTGGGAGGCTCAGACAAGTGAGCATTAGCAACAACAATAACGTGTAGTCGTAGACCACATTACCTAAATTTGAGTTTAACTTCATCTCATGTTATTTTCAAAATCCGCGATTAAAACAGTTACATTTTGTGGCACGAGCGGTGCCTTGTATTAATTTCAAAAGTTCAGAATGTTATTTTGGACTTCATCTGAATTCAAACTAGAGCGATAACTTGCCTGTCGGTCTAGTAGGGTCTGAAAAACATTGAGTTAAGTTGTTATACCAGATAAAGGACCCTACATGTCAAGGCTAAATTTTTACATATGCAAAATCAATCACTAGATTTTAAAGAGAAGACACATTACCAGTTTTAATACAAGAATAAAAAAACTTCAAACAGAAATTATACTTACAATGTTTGCCGAATCGACAAGAGTTGGTATGAGGTCAAACTTGATACATGTACCTAAGACAGGAAAATGTAATTTGAAATGTGATGAAATGAATTGTAGTCAATATTTTTTATTACATCACATTCACTGGTATTACGATTTACTTATAAGAAATACTCCCAAACGTATACATGCATCAAAAATTCCTTAAAATTTGCATTTAGCTGCGAAGCACAAATAAATTAAGGTAGAAGAGGAATTTCTTAACGTTTCCCCAAAATATTTAAAAGCATAAAATGTCACCCCAGTTTTTAGCATTAAATATTAATTTATTTAATTCGAAAAAACCTTATGTGGTCGGCACGTGAACCCCCGCTAATTCCATGCTTAACCAATGAGCTTTAAGTAAAATGTCACATCCAGTTGATCGTTTGTAAACAACACCTAACTTGTTTTTACAGAAAAGTCTGCAATGCGAAATTTTAGATTATTGATATTTTATTAGAAACAATTAACAATGTGAGAAAGTTAGTGTTTTGAATTTTATACCTACCTAATCAAATGTTTACTCCTTTATTTATCTTTTATTAAAAACTGCATTTTATTGGGCAGTTGAATAACATATAATTTAATTGGTTTTAATTAAAGAAAGTTAAGTGTTTATTACATATTTAAAATGAATATTGGTTTTAATTAAAGAAAGTTAAGTATTTATTACATATTTAAAATAAATATTTTGAATCGAATACCATAATTTAATTTCCTTCTATTTTATTTGCATAGTTTCAGCAAATATAAATTCATTTTGATCTGCTTGTATATCACCGTGATATTCAAGTCTCAGTAAACAATGCTCGTTAGCTTTAAGGATTAAAAAATTGTATCATAATATATATTTTGACGTAAGTCGGCTCAGAACTTCAAGTAAAATATCACTTCCGGTTGCTCAATTAACCCAAATCTACTATGTTGTTCATACCGAAAATAAAAGTCTTAAATACTAAAACTGAAAAGTTTTTTTTTGTTGTATTTTAATATCAATAAAATCGGTTAAGGGCTTCAAAAACCACTTCCGGTCGCCCAGTTTTACACAAAGTGCAATTTTGTAAAGTTTTATATGAGAGTTATCATGGACGAAAAAATTGTCACCGACATACGGACACATACATGAGTGACAGGTGAGAGCAAGTCCGGACACCCGGCCACCTTACAAGGACCATTGGGTTATAAGGTGTTTCTACCACTTCCCTAGCGTGCCTTCGTGGTGTAACGGTAGCACGCTGAGCCGGTATTCCAGAGGTCCGTGGTTCGATTCCCGGCGAAGGCGGTTGCTAATTTTTCATCTCTACGGCTTCCAATTAACCTAATGACTCTACAGGGTATCTTCTGGACTCCGCAAGTGTACAGCACAAGAACTCTCTGGCGCCTCAGAAACGCGGAGAGAGAGCTTAATAGAAACATTTGCTGATACTGTACACTGAAATTTGAGAATTTTGCACGCATATTTAAGCGTTTTATACTGAGCCCAGCACGCATATTTAAGCGTTTTATACCAGTAGCCCATATCTCGTGGCCTGTGGCCACCTAGCGTGTTGTGGGGAGCGTAATTCATGCTTATTCACAAAAACTCATCATCGAATTTTTGAACCGAAAACATTACCTCTCTTACCTATGTATATGGATTCGCGGGAGGCAAAAAAAGAAAAGTAATGATGCTAGATTTTTCTCAACTGTTCACGATTAAGCATAATGGGGTTTTAAGTATAATGAGGTCACGATGAAGTATAATGAGAAATTAAGGTTTAGAAGATTTTGTTGCTTTGATAGTTTTCTTTCTTTCCGACTCACCTTCTTGACTAGGAAATAGACAGTGTATTTGATGGCTACATCTCCCATAGCCTTTTGAACTATTTCAAGGTATCTCTTGATTATATCCGTCATGTAACTCACTGATTTTTCCATTCGCTCGTTCCGAAACAGCTTCGCCTATATAAAGGAAAAAAAAAAAAAAAAGCATTATTCTATCAAACTATGATTTGTGTAATCTTCAACAGACCCTTATGAAAATGTCTTATATAATTCTACACTCGTATGCAGAATTAAGGGAATTTACACATTATGTTAACTTTCTGGGAAACTAATGAATAAATTTTAATGAAATTTGGTTTTAATATACACTTATAACAGAGAAAGAGATGTGTCATTCAAAAGTCATTTTATGTGCATAAATATTATCAGGAAAGCTCATAGTGCAAGGATATCCCCAATCCATGATACTGAACAGAAAATGAGTATAATATGAGTATGGTTCCCCTCTCACAGCCAGGCAGGTCATGCAGCATGACGGCATACTGGACAGGAAGCAGATGAGGAGTCTCTGTGACAGTCAAACCCACACCTCCGGCAAGGCAGTTTTAAATTCCTGGACGGTTCTCGGAGGGGGATGACGTGATAAAATTAACTTCTCAAGTGTGTCCCAGACGTGCTCTATAAGAGATCTTGTTGGCCAATTCATGCGGCGAATATTCTCACTTTCAAAGTAATCATTGACCAGCTGAGCCGTATGTGGATGAGAATTGTTTTTCATTAATGCAGAAACTGGAGGAATTGGGAACAGATTTGTGCAGTGTGGAATAGTCTCTCTCTCTTTTTTTTAACTGCATACATTATGAAACATGTTGCGGCCCACTGTATATATTATGAAACATGTATGTATTATGTCCAATGAAAATTATTAGATCTATGTATGTATTATGTAACAGACTCAATATAGTATGAACTGTGTAAGCAACTATGAACTATGTAAGCATGTATATATATGAACTATGTAAGCACGTATTATGAAAGATCTATGAATTATGAACTACTTGCATATAAGCATGTACTATGAACTATGTAAGCATATATTATGAACTATGTAACTATAAGCATATATTATGAACTATGTAAGCATGTATACAGGATCAATGTATGCCCTTATAGGGCCCCATAAGGTGTTGCCCCGGATAGTTGCGGAACCTGGACTAGACCCGAATAGTCTAAGTAAGCCGCACGAATAGTCCAGATTCTGCTCTCAACTGTCAGCTGTACCTCATAGCAATCAGACAGCCTTTTTCAAATACATGCAGGGTTGTGCGGCTGCCCAACGTCATGCCTACCCTAACCATTACGCATCTACCATCGTAATGATCCTTTTTCCTGATGAGGGAGGAATGGTATCGTGTTTCAGGCGCTCTCGAGATACAGTCAAGTTGAAAATCAGTATTCAGGCTGAATCTCGACTCATCTGTAAAAAACTCGGAGTTCCACCGAAGTTTGTTCCAAGGCGCATGTTGTCTGCACCATGCTAAAAGCGATCTCTTGTGTACTACAGTGAGTGGGACGCAAACGTCGAGTCTCCTGTCAGACAGCCCTGTGTCCTGAAGCCTTCGAGCAAATGTAGATCGTGAACTCGTGTTCAAATGACAGCAAGCATCACGTGAGAGCTGTGAAGCTATAGCTGTCTAGTGTTGCCGCGCTGTAAGTGCCAGATAATGATCCTCATTCGCCGTTGTGGATCTTGGTCCAGGTTTTCTCGATATGGATCCAGTGACTTGAAACTGTTTCCACAAATACCAAATGTCACTGGAAGTTGCATTGAGCTGTGCAACCATCCACCACCATAACTCTGTGTCTGTCTACAATTTACCAACAATTCTCCATCTCGTTCCGTCATGCATATGTTCGTGGATACTCGTTTGACCTGATATGTTATAAAATTTACCCAACGTTTAGGGAAAAGACGCCTGTGTTATGAAGGAGGACGAGCATACGAATCTCCGAAAACTCATCGTATGCTTATATCCCCTCAAAGATCGCAGCTCCGTAGATATGCACGTGTAAGCTTAAGTATTCGACTCTCAATATCTGAATAACTTTTCGGCGACACAATTAGTAGTTTGGGTTCAATACTTTTCGTAAAATGACACATAATTTGCGAATTCTCTTAATTTTGCAAAAATTTCAAGTGCTTACAGTTTTACCCGTGCGTTCTACTGGCAACACTTTTTTGTTCACTCTGTTTTGCCCGTTTGTGGCACGGGCATCTCATTTCTATGGTTGTAATTTCTGACTATCCAGTATATTTTAGATTGTTTTTTCTGCTTCTAGATAGCATTAGTTGATCGTAAAAATAAGTTTCTAGGCTTTCTTTCCCATATGGAATATGTAGTAAATCATCTGCTTACTTACAGAAACATTGTAAGGCATTTTCTAAAAGTTTCTCTCAGTAAAGTTTTATTACAAACTAATAGACTTTTAGAAATCCTATTATTAAAAGCAAACAAAATAGCTTTTCAGTTATCTTATTGTAAATTGCATGTTTTCATTTTCGTCTGTTCCTTGTTTTAAAATTTACTAAAAAAATATCCATCTTGCGCCGTTAATAGATTATATCGAGATGAAATATTAAGTCAGAGGTAAAATTTCCAGATGTGTAATAAATACGAAATTTTGTAAAATAATTACCTGTATATGATAAAAAAAAAGCCAATGTTACAGAGAAGTTTAATGTAAAATAAGCTTATATATATATATACACCTTATTTTCGACATATGAATGATTAAGACACAATAACACGCCGAACAAATATTAATTTAGAAGTCAAACAACAAAAATCAGCGACATATTTTCAAATTTTCGCAGGACTAGTTTCGATGGTTTTACCGAACCATCATCCGCAGCTGCAAAAGCGCAAGCGGTTCGGTAAGGCCATCGAAACTAGTCCTGTTGCCGCTTGCGCTTTTGCAGCTGCGGATGATGGTTCGGTAAAACCATCGAAACTAGTCCTGTAAAAATTGGAAAATATAACGCTGATTTTTTTGTTTGATTTCTAAATTAATATATGAATGATTATTAACATATAATTAATTTAAAAATGCAATTCTCCTTCAAATTTTGTAGAGAAAAAACAGACAGTTTTAAGACGATTTTCTGAAATTTATGGAGCTGAAAAATGTTTTAAAAAATCCAGTGTTAAACTTCCATAGAATTATGGCACAATTTTCTATAAACTCAGACATCTTTTCTAAAATTTTATAAATTCTATATATGCCTTCTATAGAGTTATGTATAACAGTCCTTTAGAGATATATGCAGATATCCTATAGAGATTTGAGCAGAGATTCTATAAAAGTTTGTAGTTTCTAAAGATCCCACGTATAGAATGTTTTATGTGTACAGAATGAATCAATAGAACTCTATTGAAAACTTTAGATCCAATTTATAGAGAATACAGACATAATTCTTAAGAATTTTAAAGACACTTCCTTGTTTTAACTTTCTATAAAAGATCTTGTTGAAGCTTTTGAGTATTTAAAAACATTAAAGAATAAACAAAAATTTCATTAAAGATTAAAAAAAAATTTAATCTAAATTTTAAAGTTATCCATGACTCGGAGGGAAAGGGAATAAAAGATTTTGGAATAGATGAGATTTTTTCTTAATAAAATTTTAAGTATTGTTTTCATTAAAAAATATTTAAATAAAAATAAACGCGTTTTAAATAATAGTTAAATTTTAATTAAAGAAATAATTTCCTTTTATCAGTTCTTATGAATAAAAGTGTTTATCTTTGATTTCTGCATCCCATATAATACAACAGAAACTGCAAATTTGTTTTTATTATAGTGTGAAAACATTGCAGACTTCTACAGAGTCTTTATAGAACTATCATTCTATAAAGACTTTATAATTTTTTAAATAAAATAATTTTAAAATATAAATAAAATTTCTTTATGATTTTTAAAGCACATTTCTATAGAATTCTTTTTGTAAAAGTTTTATAAAATTTCTATAGAATTTCATAGAGAAGATGTTCTGTAGATGATTACCTATAAAGTTTTATAGGAATTCCTATAGAACTCTATTGGCCTTTATAGTTCCATCAGTGGCCGTGTGGTTAAAACAATTATATACTGGTAGTTTGACCTGGTTTTGTTTCTATCCCAGGCAAACGGGTTGCATATTTTGTTTTCGTGGTTTACCCCATATGTAATATATATATGCGCCAGTTTCCCTTGAAAAGTCCTCCACGAAGACCTCCATTCTCTTAGGCAGATAGCTGTCGTGACTTTGCCGCATTCAAATTAACCAATAAATCTTGTCACGGGCAAAAATACAAAATTAAAGCAACTGCTTTTATTAAATCGCAACCTTTCCGTGTTTCTTTTCCGAAGAATTTGAAATTTATAGCCTCACGCACAGCTCCAGGAATAAATAAGGGAAGACTTACTGCCACAGCCCCTGCGTCTGCCGTCGCGATGTCCTCTTCTGCATCATTGCAATCCCAAAATTTTGTCGTTCCAGCAGTTGGTGCAACTATTTCTGCCCTGCAAGGATAAAAAAGTGAAATTTTGCATCAAGTCCAAATAAATAAATAGCGATAAAAGAATTTTAAAAACGAAACTACCCTTTTTCAGAATCTAAAAATATATTATTCAAAGTATAAATTAAAAAAATACATGATTTTTTTTTGGGGGGGGGTGTAAAATTATACATTTATAATGCCCATGTTCCTTTCATTCGCAACTATAACAGAATTGGAAATAGACATTTAAATTGAAATATTATATTGGAAGTTTATAGACTTATCAAGGGATGGTTTTCGTATTTGAATAAATTGATATTTGCTAAAAAGCGAACAGTTCTGTGTCCCATTGTAATAGAAACGGAAATAAAAATTCCCTCAAAAACTTATCTTTGAAGTTTACACATCATATGTATGTGCACGTAAGAAATTATTGCTGCTCCTATGTCGATAGGCCGTATCATTGAATATTTGTAAAGTATTTATTTTATTTTAAAATTTTCGAATTACAGTTTTTTTACAAACAAAGAACCCACATTTAGGAAATAATAATTTATAACATAACCAATTTTTTCTTCTTTTTTAACTTGCCAATTTTCTTAAAAAATTACAATAATAAAGAAATCTGAAAGATTTTAACGGTCACCCAAAAGAGTTTTTAAATTTTTGCTGAGCACGCAGTCTACCAGTTTGCATTTGCTCTCACTCCTGATTCCCCCCTTTTCCCCTCTTTAACTTTATTATTAAGCGTCGTTTTCTTCGCACTTGCGTCACATACAGTTCAACAGCAAAATGACAAAATTATTAAAAGCCGCATGGCAGTATATGTTTAGAATTCTCAATGCAGTGTTAAGTGTTGGCATACATTTTTATATTTTTAAAATCTTTTCTCAGTTCATCATATCAATATTCAGTTTTCTTAGTACAAAATGGCTTACAAAATCTTTTTAGTCTTTTTATTATTAACTTTTATGTGTTACTTTTATTTATTTAAAAGTACGTTTTTTGCTTTTAAGCCACATAAAATTCCATTCAACAGCAGAATTACAAAATATTTAAAAACAGTATATCTTTTGAATTCCCATCAGAGTGTTAAGAGTTGCCATATATATTTTTATAATCGCTATATTATTTCGTTAAAAACTAACTGCTCGCGCGGCCAGCCGCCTAAAATAGTCATGATAAAAAAGAAAAAGTATATGAAAGTGTCTGGTGTGCAAATATAGAAAAATAACACTTCTCTGACTCCAATGGAACCAATATTTTATTCCTTACGATGTTATAGATTCTTATTCATAAGATTTATTTACATTTTACATGCACGTAGCATCGCGTGACAAAAACTCGAAGTTTGTTTACTTCGTTCTTCGCGGAGACTAGAAGGTGTTGTCATTCCGCTTTAACTAAATTTAATTAGAAACTTGACGGAACTGAAGTGACACTACACACCCCCTTCCTAGTGACAGCGATTATGGAAGATAGTCTTTAAAGTGATTGGAGAACTTTCACATGTCTGCCGATTCTAGTAGTCTTAGTTACATGATGAGTTTCTCAATTTTTCCTTCAGTGTTCTTGAGTGCAGGTGTTTCCCCAAGTCCCGCTTTCTTGGAATGGAGTTTTGGAAAAGGAATATCAGAATCTTGCACTAGGAAATATGGCTTTAGTCTGTCTATTGATACTCTTTTAACTTTTCCTTGAATTTCAATATCGAAATACTTATCCTTTCTTGCGCTTACAGGATACGGTCCAAGATAGACTTTCCGTAGTGAAGAATTATTAATGTTGTTGTGTAAGAATACGTGAGAAAAGTTGGAAAGATGTTTAGAAATAAAGACTGTTCTATTTCCATGGGTGGTGGTAGAATTTGGCTTCATGTCTCTTATTATTTTCCGAAGGTTTTGAGAAAATTCAGACTGTTTCATATGAGGTACTGTTGAAAAGAATTCACCAGGTAATGCTAAAGAGGTTCCGTATACAAGTTCTGCGGATGAGCAATCTAGGTCTTCCTTGATGGCAGATCTTATGCCTAAAAGAACGAAAGGCAATGCTTCCAGCCATGATTTTGATTCGAGTAGATGACATTTCAGACTTGCTTTTAAAGTTCGGTGTTGTCTTTCAATCAGGCCATTTGCCTGTGGATGGTACGCAGTTGTAGTGTTTTGTATGAAAACCATATTTTCCTAAAGCTTGAAAAGTTGGCTATCAAATTGCCGACCTTGGTCAGATGTTTATGCGATTCGGAATTCCAAAGCGTGAAAACCAAGTATAAATCAAGCTTTAGCAATAGATTCTGCTGATTGATCTTCTAACGGTACCACTTTGATCTATCATGTATAACGATCGATGATGGTTAGAAGGATATTTGAATCCTGTGCAAGGAGGTAGCAGACCAACCAGATCTATGTTTAAATGCTTGGAATCTGTGTGGAGGTACTTTGATTTCTCCCAAAAATGTGTATGTCTGTGACTTTAGATCTTTGGCAAGATAAGATAAACATGCTCTAGTCCATAGTTGGCAGCCCTTATTCATATTGGGACCATATGAAACGTCGTATGTTATCAACTTTATTGTGGATCTTATTCCAGGATAACATAAATTATGGATTGATGAAAAATTTTCTGCCGAAACTTTGCAGGGATGTATGGTCGATTATAATTTCTAGAAGTATCACAATAAATTTTCTTGTTGCTGTCTGGCATAGGGAATCTGTAGGACCTTTAAGTTTGGGTTGTTTTTTTAGTATCTCCAAAGTCTTCATCTTCTTGACAGTCTACTATAGTTTGTAAGTCTATTGCAGATGGTACAGAAATGGTGTCTATGCGAGAGAGAGCGTCAGCAACGGTATTTTCATGCCCTTGTATGAATCGGATATCGGTTGAGAACTGGCCTATATATGAAGTTGTCTAGCTTGTCGTGGCGAAGCTTTTTCCAAATTTTTGTTGGAAGGCAAATGTTAGTGGTTTGTGATCCGTGTATATTGCAAAAGTTCGCCCTTCTAGATGTATTTGAAATGTTTTACTGCTGTATAGATGGCTAAGAGTTCTCTGTCGTAGGCACTATATTTTTGTTGTGGCTGATGTCAAATTTTGGGAAAAGAAACTTAAGGGTTGTTTTTTATTATTCACAGTCTGATGTAAAACGGCTCCAATGGCAGTATCGGAAGCATCAGTTGTTAGCGATTTCAGCCTTTTCGGATGGGTGAGTTAAGTTTGTGGCATGAATAAGTGCATCTTTTAAGATCTGTAAGGCGTTTCTTGTTTCTGCCGCCCAGGTTATTTCTTTTCTGCAGTTCTTTTTAATACCACTGAGCAATGTTGTTAATGGTTGTTGCAATTTCGCACAATTTGGTATGAATCTGTGATAAAAATTCACCATACCTAAAAATCGTCTTTAACTAGTAAATGACTTTGGTTCTGGGAAATTTTTGATTATTTGGGCAACACTTCGAAACGTCAAATTAATTACCACTTTTTTGGTCAATCAAGCATTTGCAGATTACGAAAATTAATCTCCAACTGTACAAGAGATTCACGATCTACCACTGGAAACGACAATATTAAAATAGCAATAAAATGGCTAAAAGCCCTTGCTGGTCAAGCGTATGATAAAAAAGCAGTTATTCTTGCCAAAGAAGGGGCACAGAATGAATCACTATAGTAGGAATACTACTTCCAAGAACAGTTTTAAGGTCCCCTTAAGAACACTTGAAATCTGGAAAAACGGGTGGAATAAAGCACTAGAAGGGAGAAGAGTACATAAAAATGCATAAGTCCCCGACATTTAACCACATCTCATAATGTCTTTGTCACTTCGTCCATCATAATATATTTAGCTGTCAACTTACAAAAGAAAACCATTGCAAAATCAGGTAGCCTTTCACACCAGAAGCTATCGGATATATCCTGAGTGTGAAGCTGTTAAGGCAAAAAATGTAGAAAATTATGATGAGGCTCATGGCATGTGACAGAATAGAAATATGCAAAAACTTGTAGAGACATTAGGATTTTTTTTTTTTTTTTGAAGCAGGCAAGATGAAAAATATGCAACGCCTTCGCCGGGAATCGAACCGTGGACCTCTGGATACCGGCCCAGTGTGCAGACCACCACACCACGCAGGCTCGCCAAGAAAGCGGGAGAAATACCTTATAAACTAATGAAATGAAGTATTTATACATTCATCCAACAGGATCCTCGACGAACCGAATAAAAATCGTACCTATGAACAACGAAATGTACAGACATCAAGGCATTATCATACTATCATTTGGTCTTTCAAAATAAAATACATAGAATTGTATATAGCGAAACGATAGCGAAACGTAAAATGCATGCCGGAGGCAGGCAATACGGAGGGGGTCACCCATTTGGAGGAAGGTGAGAACGTTGCAATTGTGTAGTGGATTCCTTGCTGAGGTGGATCACGAGGCGAGGCGCAGTACGCACTATGATGGATGTTGCGCTAGAACAGTAGTGCGACAGAACAAAACCTGTAAATCTAGAGGCGAAGTTCTGGTGCTCCGTCTACTTTTCCATGTGTTGTGTTGATGCAGTGTGCGTGTTAGACCTAAAAAAAGTTGATAACTACAAACAACTGCCTCTTTCAATAAAAACTACAACAGATCGACGGCACAAATTAGCTCAAAACGTAGCAGACCAACTTCGTATGACTGTACAAAACAAAGTTTATTTTTCAGCTGATTCAATGAGGTTTAGAGAGCGGCTGTTGAGCAAAAAGAATTTCAGGCAGTAAGGACGTTTCTGGTTGACAGATGCTAGTGAACGAAATAGTTGAAAGGTGGCTGACGTGAATTGCCCTCAGCAACAGATGGCAATAATGACACGGCGAACTGAAGCTGTATATTATTCAGGAGGTATCGCAAAACACATTGGAACTCATGACATGGCAGACTTCGCATTGAGCTATTTTAACGGAAGAAACCATTACACATGAACACGCTATGCCAGGCCTCGGCAGCCTATGACCCGCGGGTCACCGAATGACCTATTTCATAATATAAAGTGACTCACACTGTAGAGACATTAGGACTTTTTTGAAAGGCAGAGAGATGAAAAGTTAGCAATCACCTTCGCCGACAATCGAACCACGGATCTCTGGAATACTGGCCCAGCGAGCAGAACCACTACACCACAAAGGCACGCTAGGAAGGCGGAAGAAATACCTTATATACTCCCCCTTTTAAAGGCCGACTGAGTTTTTAGGGGACCCAATCGCCAAATCCTGGGTGAGGAGAATCATCATCCTACACCCTTTTAGTTCGGGCGCCACTTTAGAGACATTAGGTATATTTTTGGAAGCAGGAAAGATGAAAAATTAGCAAACGCCGTCGCCGCGAATCGAAACACGGACCTCTGAAATACCGTCTCAGTGTGTTGATCACTACACCACGAAGGCAGGAGAAATACCTTATAACATCTAAAAATAAAATGTAATATATAAAAACAAATAACAAAACATAACTATGAAACGAGCACTTGAAGAATACATAAAAAAATAAACGGAAAATAAATAATAACAGCAACATTTTTGTTTGATTACAAAGTTACAGTAACAAATATGCAATTTATTAAAACAATAAAAATCATAACATAATTTTGAGGAAAAATCGATGTTTGGCAACGCCGATCTGTAATCTATAATTTATATTATAAATCCCAAGTAGCACACGACGTCGCAAAGATGTTGCAAACTGGTCCGAGAGGTTCCAAAGTGGTCGTGGTAATTTTACGACATCTTTACAACGTTGTGAAGACGCAAAATATTTGCCCCTGTATCTTGGCAATTTGTCTACGTCGCTGAAACGTCATGATATGACCTGTTTTAGACGTGGTCGTTTCAGCATTTTTTTCATAGTTCAACAGCGTTACTTTTAGAAAGGAAAGAGACTAAATCTGCCCTTTCAAGAATCTGAAGTTCGCATAAGATTTATTTTGCAATGTTTCATAACTTTACTTCATCTAAATATATTAATCTAAGGTAGATTCCTCTAATGAATATAAATTTAATATAAATAATTTTGATTTATTAAATTTGGTTAGTACTAAAAATACGTGCTGAATTATTGTTTAAAATTTTGTTAAAATAATTAATACTTAAAATATTTTTTTATAAAATATTATAGCAAAATGTTTAAAAATTAAACTAATGTATAAAGTAAGTTACTGAGTTACGCATTTTATATATTTTAAAAAATCATATTTCCGAAATCAATGCAAATTACATGTTAGCAATTATGCAATCGTATAAATCGCTGAAAAGTTACACTGAATTCTGTTCCACCGATTGACATTCCATGTATATTATTTGCTAGATGATTATATAAATGAACATCTGAGCTCGAGGCTTGCGCGCTTTGACTAGCTGCCAAATTCGTAATTAACTGAGATTCCAGCAGTTCTTTCAAGTAATTTGGTAAAGATGCCATTTGTAAGGCATTTAAAAAGACTGACTTCATGTTTGAAATTGAATCAGTCAATGACTGATATGAATAATATTGCTTAAATTAAAAGTAAATGTAACGCACTGTGAATCTTATCATTGTTCTGTCCCTATCTACTTACTGCCTTCAGTAAGCGAATTTGCATTGCTGAGAGCTCCTGTTTGGAAGCCTCTGAATTGAGGAAAAATCATCGTAGAAATGCCGAATTTGAGCTTATTTTGTTTCTGAATAGCTGCTCTACAAGAAGGCACCAAAAGTTTGGATAAATCATTTAGAAAATATCAAATGCAGCGTGCTATAATGCTAATTGTGAATATACTGTTCGTGAAATAGTGTTCTGTTTTGGTGTTTTATGTGTTTCCGTAGTTGGTGTTTTCCAATCTTCATTGTTTCCAGCGGTGCAGTATTTGGATACACGGATTAGCGATTCGCTTATAACGTCCTAAATGCTATGTCGTATATCATTCATAAAAGATAAAGTACCTACAAATCATCGCATAGTAACATATTATGTAACTGACTTTCGTTATAACTAACAAATCGACATCCAAAAAAATTGACTGCACGCTATACATGAAAATGTTAACGACACTTTAAGAATAAACGAAAAAAAAAATAATATGTAATTTTCATTAAAACAATATCAGATTAACAAATGTGAAGGAAAATAATTTTATCATTAATAAAGTAATTTTTATAGAGGTAACCTCACGGAGTTATTTATCTTCCTTTTTTAAGCATATTTAGACTGTATTTTTCATGAAAAATTGTCAGTTTATAAAAAAAGCTTAACTTATTAATGACCTTTGTTAATTAACTATATAAATTTAAAATTCTACTAAGCTTTTTAAGTTTCATTAATTTTCTACTTATTTTCAATTCTTAAATGCTTAATTTTCCTTCTTATTTTTTCCGCAAAAATTTATTAATTCGTTCAAATATATGAAATATAGGAGTAAAAGAATCCTTCTTTCTTTCTTGTGCTCTACGATCTTTATCCGAACATGCATTTATAACTTTTAAATCCTGAAAACGCATGTGTGCAATGTTATCGTCATGCGATGATTTGTAGGTACTTTATTTTTTACCACGATATTTTTGACGACGATGTTTTTAAACTGCGAAGTTTTTTAACCACTTTATTTTATCCCACGAGGTTTTGTAGCACGACGTTTTCTCCTTGCGTTGTTTTCTCCGCGACGTTTTCGGCTCGTACTTTTGTCATGGATAATGATCAAGACTAGTTAGACAACGTATATATATTATATATATATATATATATATATGTGTGTGTGTGTGTGTGTGTGTGTGTAAGAAAGATAAAAAATATGTAAATTATAACATAATTTAGCAATAGCTCCTTAATGCTTAATTTTAATTTGGATATTTCCCTTTTGTATTCTAAAAATAACAGTACTTTTTTATGCTTTTCGACATTTCGAGATTAATCCATGTCATATGATTCTTATATAATGCTGGTGATGTAAATGGAACTAAAACTCAAAACAGCCAATAATCATTTTACAGTTTTCTTAATTATTCAATCAAATGCATTGAAAACCGAAGCAAACTCATTCTGAATTAAGATTTCATTCTGAACAGAAGTCACTTGCTTTTTGCACTTCAGTCTAGACAGACTGCTGCTTGCTGCTCTCTTTTTATAGCAAAGCTGCCAAATATGCGTTTTGAAATAAGCAAGATATATATGTAATATATTCAAACTCAGAAACAATGACCAGGAGCAGGAAATTTTGGATGGCGTAGTAGTGTTGATCCATAATGAATAGGAAATTGGAGGCGAATGCAGATTAAATCTTCAGTTTTATTCTCAGCAACATGTTGCAGCTACACACAAGTCGGCACATTAAATGCGCCTGTCCCAAAAGGCTTACATTTTTGATAACTTTGTAGCAAGAAAGCAGCGGCAGACAGACAGCAGTGCAGCTAGGCCAAAGCGTGCAAAGCAAGTGCGTAATGTTCAGGATGAAATCTGAAATCAAACGGAGTTAGTTTTGGTTCTCAAAGCATTCTGATTGGACAGTTAATATTGCTGTAAAATTACTATTGGCTGGTTTAGTTTTAGTTCCATTTACATCATCATAATTACGTAAGAATCATATGACCATGGACCTTACAAGAGATAGACTAACCCAGTGGGCGGGCTCATATTCAGAGGTTAGCGTCGCTGCGCGACGCACGCATCCTGATTTGCTCTGTAAGTATTTTTGCTTTCTCTCCTCATGGCGGCCAAAAAACCACCAGATCGTTTTTGGAATAGGCATGAAAGCCACAGCGACGTGGATCACGACTCAGATTATTTCAACTCATCTAAGAATAGCGGAAAATTAAAATTTAAAGATTTTCTAAAACCCTCCAGCTTAGAAACTAAATTGCAGCAGCCTAAAAGAATAAAGAAAAGTAGCTCCCCCAGCACTGCGACTCCAAAAACCCAAGATTTTCGCGACACCATGGAAAAGTATAAACATATTTTCCCTAACTTATTTCAAGGACTCGGAACTGAATTAGATAAAGATCCCAGATATCAAATACTCAGAAACGGAGCCCTAACTGAAATTTTAAATAAATCCCAACAGCGTATGATTGAACAATCGAACTTAATGGACACCGGATCGATGGACGAGAAAGATTACGCAGAAAATGTGAAAGAACACGAAGAATTAGTGGACTCCATCAAAGAAGTTTATAACAATTTAACAGTTCCAGAAGCAGATAATAAGAACAAAATTGGTCAATTCTCTCAAAAACATGCAAACCTAATCTAAAACCTAGCGAAAAAGAAGAAATAGAACAAAACAACAGATTCGAACCTTTAAATGATGAAGAAAATAATGAAACTACTGAAGTTAAAACTAATCATAAATCTGAAATAAAAATCCCATCAATAGTCATCACGCAAGTTGAATTAGATTGGATTGATCTACAGAAAATCTTAAGTACTAAAATCCTAAAAAACGAATATGAAACCCAGATGAAAGCCAAAAAAGTTTATTTAAATACTTCCACCGAAGAGGATTACAACAGCGCCATCGAATTTCTAAAGAAATCATGCATAGAATTCTATACGTATCAACTTTATTCCAAAACTAACATTAAAGTCATTCTAAAAAATATGCCCAGAAGCATCTCAGAAACTGCAATATTTGAAAACCTAAAACATATAAAATTCCCAGTACTAAAAGTTAAACAGTTCACAAAGAGAATAGAAAGTGATATCATAAAATTACCCATATACTTCATTGAACTTGAAAGGAATAAATTAGGAGAAGCGATTTACAACTTAAATAATACTTTTAACTTCAATATCACTATTGAGAAATATGCACCTAAAACTAAAAGACCAATTCAATGCTTCAAGTGTCAGAGCTATGGACATTCACAGGCGGATTGCTATAAAAAAGAAATATGTTGTAAATGTTCCCAGAATCACAGATCTAATACTTGCTCTTTAAAACGTGAAGAAAAACCCATCTGCTATTTTTGCCGTGGGGAGTATGTATCGTCTTACCGTGGTTGCCCGATTTATAAAAAGCGTTTTCAAACTCCTAAACTTGCAGAGAAAACCCAAGAGATTCCACATCTTAAAGATTTCCCAGCACTCGCATCTAAATCTGAAACTGAAATTAAAGAAATTCAAAGAAACATCCCATTCAGCGCCGTCTTTAAACAGCAGAAGATCCCAGCAGATAATGATAATCCAATATCCCAAGTTTTTTCAAATCCTAAAGTTTTCAAATTCATTCAAGATATGAACGATGTTGCAGTTAATATTAAATCCGCTAAATCCAGTAGAGAAAAACTTTCTATCGCTTTCTTAGCAGTAAAGATTGCTCTTGATTTCGCAGAAGAGGAAAAACTAAGTTCAAAATTTTACTTCTTGTTACTTCCTGATGTTCCAACAGATGGCGACACTCATGCGACGATGTTTTCACCAGAAACTTTCCACTTTAAATAAAGTGGATTTACTTCTCACTAAGAAGTACCCCGCAAGGTAAATAATTTCTGAGTAAAAGTCCCCAGGACTATATTCTCATAGATACCTCAATTCATACCAATTCATACCAGTGGGCGGGTCGCGCGTCACCGACATGTCCGCAAGGAAGAGTAGGGACGATCTGGTTTACTTTAACACGGAAACCTATGGCGTTTGTATCACAAAACTGTTTTTAATTATTTAATGTGATACATTGTATAGTAATGAGATTATGAAAGTCACTGTTTTTTTCAAATAGGATTTAATTTCATTAAAGCACTTTACTGCATTTCGTGAATTTTTTTCACGCGTAATTCTTATACAAACATCTTTACTTTGATAAAACGGTAAAAACTCTAAGCACAAAATTTATGCACTTAATTTTGCGTAAAAATTAAGTAAAATTAAATAAGATTGATAGTACATGATGTTTTAAAATAAATAAGGTAAAATTAAACAAGATCTGATAATTTTCTTTTTAATTTAATGAACATTTTCAAGCAGTGATTTTCAAAACTATAACAACATTATAAAACGATTATTTATTTGATTATATCATCATTATATTATTAACATTAAAGTGAATTATTTATTTTAGTAATTTATAAAATTCGGAGCATAACATTTTCTGAGTGTAATGAAGGGGGAAAAAAAAGATAAAATCTAGAAGCACTCAGATTTTATATTACGCCCAAAAGGAAAATTTTTTTAGCGTTTTGTGTGTTACCTATATTTATTGAATATTATGTTCTTCGCCCGTAAACCCCATACATTTGAAAACAGCATATCTTTAGAATTTCCGCACTGGAGATAAAAATGTTATTTTCTATACAGTGTTGCCATTGCTCGCTTAAAATCGTTGAATTTGTTAACCAAAAATTCCTTAAAGTTTTACAAAATATGAAATAGATAAAAAAGCAAATTCGAAATTCGTCCAGATGGATATGTTCAGGTGGAGGATTATATTATTCAAAATTTGATGGCTCTAGATACCGTCTTTTTTGTCACAGTGCAAGAAACATACATGTATTCATTCAGATTCTTCATTATTTAACTTCTTTAAATATAATACAGGGCGATAATATTTGGTAACAACAAATTGCAAGGAGACACGGACATTTATAGTGAAACAGCGCAAAATGCCGCTTCGAGCTAATAAATTAAATTAACCGTGAATAAAAAAAAAATCTTATGCAGAACTAAAAATAAATTTAAAAAATAATCACTGTAAAATACAAGCAAAATTAATTATTACGGTTAAATACAATTTTAATATTAGAATTAAATGTGTAAAAATTAAGGAGTCAAAAGTGTTTATCACTATGATGTATTATGAAATACAATTGAAATAAAATTCCTTTATAGAAATTGTGCTATAATACTCATCTGTAATTTTAAAAACGCAGCACAATTTAGAATTTTAAACAAAACTTTTAAAAATTCGTTTTTAAATATTTTAGTATTTTTTACTTATTTACACCAATAAAAAGCATAAAAATTGCTTGTTTGAAATTTTCTCTTAGTTCAGATTTAAAATATTATTTTCTAAAAGAAGTAGTTACAAATTTCCTTACAGCATAGGAAAAGCTAAAAAAATATCCAGCCCTGAAAGCATGCAATAGCTTTATAATAATTTGGAACGTTAATTATGCATGATAAATATGCTAAATTTTTAAAAACCAATCTCAATTTCAAAAATAAAAATATGTAGAAATTCTAATTTGTGAAATGAGGCACTACAACCAGCTTTTTCTTGACAATTATACACGCTGCAATAGGCAGCCACTGTTAAATTTCTGCAAGTCGTCCCTACTCCTCCGGATGTGATCAAGGTGACAGCCGGGAACGCGTAAGACGAGGGGGAAATTCCATTTGGGTTAGTCTATTTCTTATAAGGTCCATGCATATGACATAGATTTTTCTCGACATGACGCAGTCAATATCCAGCTAATTGTGGTTTCTATCCATCTATTACGCGTCTTATTCATGTGGCAGCAACATCTCTGTAAAACATCTCAGTCATAACTCAGAACATAAAGATGGTGATGTTGAAGACATGAAAAAAATTTCATTGTCTTTGTGATTCTGGCTCTAAATTTCTCATTATTTTCTCTGTAACTGATTATTTTTCCAGCTGTATAGAGTGGGAAAAACTAGTGAGATTCCTTAATTCTAGTTTTAGAACTTTTTTTCTGTTTGATTCAATTTTATTTTGTTTATTAAGTTTGTTTTGCCTACTCTTAGATTTTTTACTAATTTTAAGCATTTGTATTTAGTTTTTGGTTGTTCATTTTTTGTATTTTTTTACTTTGTGTATGAATGTATGTAGGGGAAAGAACTGAGCATTTGAGACTCATTCGAAATTTCTTTTTTAAAATTATGGTTTAGTAAGAAGAACAAAACATGTATTCAGAACTCATTAATCAACTTGGTTTAAGACTTCAAAACACTTTTTCCTTGACAAGCTCTGTTTGAAACGTTTAAAAAGAGGAGATTAAAAATTTTTTTGGACATATTTTTGCAATTCGTTTTATTACGTCTCATGTTCTGTAATTTTTAATTTTTTGATTTTCTTTTAAGAATTCCGTTTTTTAATTGTTTCCTTCATTTGCGTTTATTCGGTTTTGTATCCTTTTCCCGGAGAAAGAAATGGGTAGATCTTTATAATTTTTGGAACAAAATTTTTATTTAATATTCTTTTACTTTTTTTCATTTAATATAAATTTTTTACAATCTAGCAGTCTCAATGCAGATTCGTCTCTTTTCTTTATAATTTTTTACCGCTTCAATGCTGACTATTCTTAAGAATATCTATCTATAATTTATAAAATGAGTCTCGTATACAGTTTCAATTGTCTGTTTCGGCGAAACGCGGTATGGATTTAACTTGATTCGAAAATCATTAAAAATAATTTCCCCTGAAGAGCAATAATGAGATTCGAATTAGGCTAATCTACCATTTACCGCTGCTTCTTAGTTTTTATATTTTTGCTTAAATCTTTTGTCGCACTTTATTCTAATGTTTGAAATATGCCTTACTTTGATTAGCATATTGCTTACAATTAGTATTGAATTTCATTTGTAAATATTCAAGTGTTTGTATTGTTTATTTTATCTTTGTAACACATTTCATTGCACCTTATTTCACTTATGTTAATATTTTCACGGAACCACAGTATCTAAGCAACTTTTTAGCGTACGAACGAGGAATCTTGTTTTAACTTCTCTCTCTATATATATATAGTGAGAGAGAGAGAGAGAGTATCGCAATTATATATATATATATATATATATACATTAATTTTACTAGATACTTTAAATTTTCTTTCATAATAAATAACGAACTAAAAAATTAGCGAAAAAATGACCACGTTCTGAATTTTTGTTGGTGCGTTAAGGAGTTAAAGTAGCCTAATAGATGGTATTTAAAAAAACAATATTTTTCAGATTTACCTTAATGCCAGCATGTTTACAGTGAGCATAACCAACTGTTCTTTTCGTGCCTCTAAATTCTGTAACAACCAGAAAATAAATTCAGAAATGTGTCTAATGTATAATCACTCTTAAGAGAAAAATCAAAATAAAACATTTAAATCCATTGCATATTCCAATAGGATAATGTCATTAAATAAAAAATAATAATATAACTATAATAAATAAAATAAAATAAAAATTAATTAAATTCGAGTAAAATAAATAATTGTTTGTATACACATCAGACATGGTGAAAAAATTAAAGCAGAGCTGAGATCCATAAAATGTATGAAAAAGTGCAAAAAATGTGTGAAACAATAATGAAAAAACGAAATAAAGGGAACTTAATCTTTTGCCACGTCGTTGTCAGGGGGTTGGTGTAACGAAAGATTTAAATGTATCAGAATGTTTCTACGCTGACAATAATAAGAATCAACAACCTGCAACTTAAAACCTAATATAAATACAAAACAATTGGTGTCCTTGTCAGTCTAACCTCCACAGGCTAGATTAGGAAGGGCAATTCTGCCCAGTTTTCTAAGTACCTCAAAACGCCAAATAATCTGATGTGGACACGACATGACTTTCACACTGCCACGTGACCACATGGCTTATTAAATTATACGCAATTTTCCTGCACTTCATTTAAACTTATTTCCTCGAATTATATTAAACATCCCGCTCAAATTTTGTCGTACGGGAATCAAACTTCTTATACGAGTATCAAACCAAATATAGGTAAAACAATCGGGTGTGTGTGTGATTACGGAAAAGCCTCAATGGCTATCTGCCTAAAGGAAGGGATGCCTTCGTGGAGGACTTCCTAAGGGAAACTGGCTCGGATACACGTTACACATGGCGAAAACCACGAAAACGACCATGCAGCCAGCCCGTTCGCGGGATTCGAACCTCGACCGAACTACCAGTGTTCAGCGACTTTACCTTTCGGCCGCTGGTGGGCGTAAAACAATTGGGAAACAGCGTTAAAAATTAGATTTTGTTAGTTGTTCAAATTATTATTATTTTTTTTTAATTTGACATTGCCAAAACAAGAACATTTTTGTCATTTAAAATACAATTAAAATATCAAACAAAATACTTTAAATGTAATTAGACATGACTAAGTACATGACTACGACCAACTATTGCGAAAATAAAGACCGGGTAAGGGAATGAATATATATGTATATATTTGGGAATATATGTATATACTAATCCCTAAGTTAATTTTACTCACCTCCCTATTCCTAGCTTGGTGCTATCATGTGCCTTTTACATAATGATGATGACGTAGGTAATTCGGAACTTATCTCAAAACTTCGAAACGTAATAATAATAAGCTGCCCATATTGGAATAACTGTGCACTTTGCTTCTACCTCTATTCTCGTAGCCTCACGGCTTTCTTCGAACTTGTGAGTTCGAACCTGTACGGGGCTCGAAAGGCGATGGACTCGAAACCCATTGCAGTTCCCCCGCAATTTGGAAACTTTTCTGCTTAAATTATATAAAAATTCTTTGTTACTTTACTTTTAGTAAATTTCTTCTAAATAAAATTCGTTTCCTCAAAAAATTTTTACTTCATATATTTTTACATTGGATTTATAAAATTTCTTTAGGAATTCTGTTTTTTCTTAGGTTCGAAATTTATTTAGTGTTTATTTAACACGCTGCTTTTGACTTACCCAGTAGTTATTCTAGATCCTTACTCGACAATTGGTTTTTATAATTTTTATTTTTAGAGTATTTTTTATTTTTTGGGTCACGTCAGAGGAGATTATATCTTGATGATTAATTAAAGTAAATAAAATGTTTCTATTATTGCAGTTTTAAAAGAATTTAATTAATAATTTTACTTTAATTTTTATTTGCCACTCTCTTTTAATTATTTCAAGAATTCACAATCATGCTGATACAATTCAGAAACGTGCCTCTGTTGAAAATTCTACGACCATTCCTTTAAAAAATAACCCGAAGAACTTCCAATAGTTTTTTACATTAATTTTGTCATGCTATATTATATTACATTAATTTTATTACGTTATTTTATTGAATTGTTTTTGCTTCAATTTTGATGTGTGTACTTCCTTTTAGAATGCTAATTCTTTCCTTAATTTAATTTTTGATTTAATTACTATCTCTTGATTATTTTTATATTTTAATGCTTTTTTATATATTTTACAGTTTATTTATTTTACTCTTGACTATTTATATACGCCTGACTGCAGCTAAATATAAATAGTACATATATGTCGCTGCAGTCAGGATTACTTCTATACTAACAGTCGATGGCTCACAAGCGGCCGAGCGGTAAACTCGCTAAACACTGGTAGTTCGGTCCGGAGTGCAATTCCAGGCTAACGGGCTGGCTGCATGGGCGTTTTCGTGGTTTTGCCCATGTATAACGTGTATACGATCCAATTTCCTTTAGGACCTCCTCCACGAAGCTATCCCTTTTAGATAGATAGCCTCCACCCCAGGGGTCGACGTAGAGGACTTTGCGAAGCTACTGACTAGGATCTGTACCTAGGCAGTCTTGGCCACAAAGATATAAAATTTATGAACTTGGTGGTTCTGAAGGCCCTGGGAAAGGTCACTTAAGCTTCGTTTAGACGAGGGCAGGGCGTAAAGGGCATAAGTGGTTAAGGCCGAGCTTCGTTGCCAAGGCAACCAGTCTGTGCTACGTCACAAAATCTGGTTTAGGGCTCGTGGCATAGGGTTCAAAGTTTTCAACTTTACGCCGAGTTTGGGATAAGCGTCGACCAATCAGAGCGAAGCTAAAACGAAGCGGCGTTCTACAGAAGATTTCGCTGTCACAAAACAAGCAAAGCGAACGCGGGAAGGAGAACAGCGCGGGAAAGTTGCAGACACATCCACAATGCTCAAATTTAGCTGAACGCAGCCTTATTGGCCTGCCTAGTGCGTCGTGGCTCTAGTAACCCGGGGGGGGGGTAAACACCCCTGGATACGCTGGGCAATGCCGCGCTGCGACGGGCAGCCTGAGCGACTGGTAGGTAGCAAATTAACGACCAGTGCCGTCTGGGAGACTTCCTGGGTGGGAGACTCCTAGGTGGTGCACCTCTCTCTCTCTGAGAGGAGCCAGAGTGGAGGTTAAACCTCTGCGCCTGGTTCTAAGGAGTGGGGGTGGGACCTGTAGTGCGATTAAGTTCGCGGAGCAGGGAATGCCCAAATCTTCTTGTTGTTTAGATAGATAGCACTCGGAGTATTTTGCCATAATTAAAGAAGCCAAGCCAACTAACAGGCGATAATTCGTGTCTGTGTAGATCCCAAGTTATTAAAGATAATGCTGTAAAATCGTTTGCTCGTTGAGGATCGTTCTCTTGTATCATATTTTTTTCAAAATACGTATAGTTGTTTCTAAAATTAATGAGAACAGAAGCCCGAATTTTGTTAAATCGCAAACTATAGGTTACGTTTTGTTTATAATGGATGCAGCAATTAATGCAACTGATTGTATTTCTTTGAAAACCGAAGTAATGAGGAATTTTACTTCCGTATATTTCAAAAAGAATGTTAATTCTGAATAAAAATGTTACATTTAAGCAAACAGAGACTGTGGCTTACAAGTTTGAGGTTTTTCTGGATTTCCGTGTAGAGTTTGAATTGGATCAGAGCCCCAGCAGAGACTTTCTCCACGCTCACAAGCTCCGAATATCCCATGAGTTTAATGGTTACGTCATCGATGAATTCCTGGATCAGTCTGCGGAAGTAAAAGATATCATAATTGGATTATATTTACTGACATCTCATGTTTTTACAAGTTAATCGACCACCAGCGAGAATTTGAAGGTCGCCTGGAAGTAAGTTTTGAAAAATCGTGAAAATTCCAGAATGGGTATCACATAACGTTGTACGGCCTATTTGATTATACATACCTTTTTGCTGCACTGCGCTTAGAATTAGTTCCCCGAATTATTCTTACTTAATTAACCGATCCCTCACGGCAAGCTGAAAATGACGTAAAAAACTGCAAATTTTGAAATTAAATATTTTGGTCAATTTTTATGGTACGATTGGTTTGGCATCTTCTAGCATTTTTATTTTTTCATAACGAGTATACAACTTTGCAAAATATAAGTATATTCGCCGGGAGACCGCATTAAAAGTTAGATTTCGTTATTTGTCCAAAATTATAATTATTATTTTTTCTTAATCTGTCATTTCCAAAGTATGAATACTATTTTCGTCCCTTAAAACACTTCTGAAACTGGAAGTATACAACGAACGGTTGCGAAAGGGATAAGGACTTTTAAGTCGGGTAAGGAGGGAGGGTAGGTGTATATATATATATATATATATTTGGTACTGCCGATTGCAATAAAAAAGGAAGGCTCACGACTAAACGTTATAGCAGTCCCCTGTACAAAGTTTCAGCGTTCTGCGGATAATAATTTTTGAGTTATGCGAGATATATGCGAGATATCACAAAATCATCCATTTTGAATGCCTTTTAGAATCCGTTTTGGAATAAATATAAGAATAAAAAAAACTTAGCTCACCGAGCCAGGTAACAGAGTGGGGTATATATATATATATATATATACCCACTCTGTTACCTGGCTCGGTGAGCTAAGTTTTATATATATATATATATATATATATATATATATAAAATTATATATATATATATATATATATATATATATATGTTAAGTACTTTTACTAATGTTTTAAATATACTTTAATTAGATTAGCATATTGCTTACTATTAGTATTCATGTTTACTTGTAAATAATCAAATGTTGTATTTTTTCTCTTATAACACATTTCTTTGCAACTTATTTTGCTTATGTTAAAGTTTTCATGGAACCACAGTATTTTAGCGGACATTTTAGCGTACGAACTAGGATTTTTCTTTTAACCAAGACAAAATGGATTCCTGAGCGGTCAAAAAGGATATTTCCTTCGAAATCTGACAACGGAAATTTTTGGCGATTATAGTACCTCCTGTCCTTCGTATAAGGAAGTAAAAAGTATGATATGTAGCTTTTTGCTTAAGTTCATAGATTGAAAATTTATCTTTTAATCCGAAAAAATGTTTGCCATGTATCATGGTAACATTCTGGGATTTTTCCCCAGTTGCAGGTAAAAAATCGCGTTCTAATATTTACAATGAAAGGAAAAGCATTTGCCACTGCATGCAAGTTTCTTTTCATTGCAGGAATAAAGAAATAAACGTCCTGTACACTTACTTGATTACATAAAACTGTTTTCCGTTTACTCCTCCTTCAGTGCTGTTCTTGAAGTCCTCTAGTTCCTTTGTGTAATGAATCAACTTCTTGGCCAGCTCGTTCCTAACAGTAGGCAGATAGGCTTTGATATGGGCGCGCAAGGTCTTTTGCAACAGCTGTTGGAGATAGGGTGTTCCCATCCTGTGAGCTATGTGCCTGGTGGCAGAAATTCCGAACCGTTTATATAACTAACAAATCATATTAATATAGATTATACGTTGTTAATTAACAACGTATCTACGAATCTCAGCTTTGAAAGTATCACATTGTATGGATTTGTAATTGTTCGAAAAGTCTATCACCATTATATTAACTGTACCAGAGGTATCTAACTCAAATTACATGCGAGGAGAATGCACGATCTGAAAACGTAATTCAAATATATTGGCAGCTAAATATTTAATATTTTTAAATAACGGATATTTCGTTCAACTAATTCTAGCATGCTTAATTAATCATTCAATAACTTACTTTAATCTAAATAAAAATAATCATGTAAATTTGCTAAGATTTTTTTAGAGGAGACTTTTTCAAGCGGGATAAAACTCGAAACTAAATAAAGACAAGCTAATCTCTTTCTTTGATTTATTTTTTCTTCGACGCATAAAATAAATATCTGATGTGGACAAGACATGAACTTCTTGTACAGCCTATTCAAATATAAAGTTTTTTTGCTGCATTTCATTTTAACTTATTTCCTCGAATTTCATTACAGCTATATTTCTCAATCAATCAGCTCAGTTCTCGTTTCGCGGCAAGGCAAAAATACATAAAACTCAAAATGTGTTCATTAAAAACTGTAAAATACAGAAAAACCTAAAACACCAAATACAATTAAACCAGTTAAAAAACAAAATCTGATGTGGACACCACATGACTTCCTTGCATGGAATATTAAATTATATGCATTTTTTGCTCCATTTCATTTAAACTTATTTTCATTAGATATATTTGTGATTCAACTAATTCAGTTCTCACTTCGCGGCAAGGCAAAAATACATAAACCTCAAAATATCTTCATTAAAAATTGAAAAATATAGAAAAAGATAAAACACCAAATACACTTAAAACGATTAAGTATATATATGTATATATATATATATATATATATACACATTTGGTGCGGCCAATTGTAACGAAAAAGTGAGGTGCACATGTAGAAGTTATACCAGTCCCATATACGAAATTTTGACGTTCTTACGGCGACTCGTTTTCTGAATTATGCGAGATACATACGTACGTACGTACGTGACGTCTATACATATGCATGTATGACTCGTAAAACGTACGCATGTATAATGTATAAACGTCATGGAAAAAAATACCTTCGGAATCCATTTTAAATCCATTTCACTATCCGTTTAGGAAAAAAAAAAAGTCCTTTATTCCGTACGTAAGAACAGATGTGATATAAAAACATCCCTCAAATGGATTCGAAAGGGTTCAAAATGCATACTTTCGTTGAAATAGAATGCTTTCGCGATTACAATACTTCCTTTACTTCGAACAAAAAGTAAAAACTTAGATTAGAAAATAGAAAACTGTTACTATAGAAAAATTATTCGCATTTTCTAAGATATGTCAGACTGTGTTGAATTAATGCGTACAAAATGTGCGATTCCTTTACTGCAGCAAAAATTAAATAATAATTAACTTTTTATTGTGAACTAGCAAAATTATCTTTACTAGTTAATGTAAATTTGAGAAGTTTAAGATGTTTTCAGTTAAATATTCATAAACATTTTTCACTACCACTATTACTTCAAAAAACTCACTTATAATATTCTTTACTTTCGAAGAATTTTCTTTCCTTATCCAGTATGTATTTGACATCTTTGCCTTCATCGATATCTTTTTGACTTCGATTCAGAACACCAACATAACCTACGGTAAATGGCAACTGAATATTAAAGGTGAACTTACAAGTGACTTCATTGGTTGATTTAAATGCCCAAAAACCAGAAAGACAGAACCACATAAAAACTGTACTATCTACCAATAAGTATTTGAACAACTATGTAAATGCCAATATCCGCGGTTCTGATATATAGCACGCCCTCCACCATTAAATATCGCGTAGGAAACAACATTGGCATTAGTGGCATGCAAGATGCCACGAAATTCAGAGTTATCTGATTTCGAGAAAGGTGTAATCGTCGGGTGTCACAAAAATAGCCGATCCTTAAGGGGCATATCTAGTTCCCAAATTCGACAGTGGCCTTGTAAAGACCTTATTTTGTACAAATAATTTTTTTAAATTTTATTTTAAGAAACTTTCCTTTCGCTTCTGATTTCAATTTCCTGCCAAAATGCAAATTTAAATGTTGTATATGCAAATCTAAGTGAATTCGGAAATAGTATTTAAATAACAGCATTTGAGGATTCGCGGTAGAAGAGTTAGTTACGAGTTTATGCCGCGTTGTTTGCAAGTAGCTCTGCTACTGAATATTTGTGCTAGCCACTTACTTTAATTTATATTGATATTCTAGACTCAGCTTTGCTGTGTGCAGCAGATGAAGCGGATACGAGTTAAAATTTAATTTATTCTGATTGTGCATACTATTTTGTGTTAGGTTACTTATCCACAACTGGTGGTTAAATTGTGAGCACTGTGTGAGTGCGTGTTCTGTTCAGTTTAATTAAAATAAAAAAGTTGTTATAATCTTCGTCAGCAATCATATGTTTTACAAGACATTGCGAGAATTCGCTATTTCGTATTCAGTAGGATCTACTTTTGATGCTCCTTAAAAAGAACAAGGCTATATACCTATGTGATACCAGATGTATAAGATAAGCGGTGATTATCGGAATGTGCTTTGAGTCAGCAGATCTGTGGAACTGGGCAATAAGGATCGACGGGCGCTGCCCAGAGAAGTTCTAAAGAACCGCGCTCAACCGATGGACCACATACTCCAACAGGCAGTCGGGAGAGTTGTTTGGATGAATACCATCCGTAAGAAATCACATCTGCTTGGTTTTCAAAGTCATGCTTCTGCCCATAAACATTTGATCAAAAAGTCCAACCGCGCTGCTCGGTTAATGTGGTGCAAAGCACGCTGTCAGTGGACCTTTGATCAGTGGTAACGAGTTCTCTGAAGAAACGAATCAAGATTCACTCTCTATCGTTCGGATGGCAGGGTCTGGGTTTGGCGTCTGCCTGGAGAACGCCCCTTGCCAGAATGCAGTGTGCCCACAGTAAAGTGCGCCGGAGGTGGAATTATGATTTGGAGATGTTTCTCCTGGTGTGGATTGAAACCTTGGTTCAAATCCATGGTAGACTGAACACCAACGCCTGCTGCACTATTTTGGATGACAGTGTGCTTCCTACGTTGTGGCAGTTTTACGGGTTGATCCCATGTTATTTTAAGGACGCCATCGCCAGCTTTTATATTGCGAAGTCTACTATGGATAGGTATGATGACAATGGGGTTAACCGAATAGACTGACCTGCCCAAAGCCCAGACCTGAACGCTATTGAGAACCTCCAGGACGAGTTGTACCGCTTAATTAAGGGGTGTAACAAACCGTCCAATATCGGTGAAGAAACTGACATGTCTTCTCCAAGGCCAGAAAGAAAATTCCAATAGGGACTTCCATATAAGGACTTGTGGAAAGCATTCCCCGGAAAGTTGAGGCTATAATTGCCGCTCATGAAGGCTATACTAACTATTGAAGTTGAATAAATTTTGTTTTTCTTTTTCTATCACAAGTGTCTAAACACTTATTGGTATATAGCGTATTTCATATTGCTATGGACATTCCCAAGCAAAGAGAAATGTCGAATCATTTCTTCCATAAAACAGATTAGGGTTAGTAGGCGAAATGTTTTAGAAGTTCTAGTAGCCCATTAATTGAAAAGATTTATGGTTTTATTCCTTAATTTATTTTTCAAAAAAGAATGACTGCAAATCTTTCGGAATTGTTTTGCCGTTAACAATTTTCGAAAAATTTGTATTTAATTTCTTCCTTAAATGAGGTAGCTTGAAAATGTTTTGAAAATAAAATTTCACTCTCTCCTTTAAAAGAAATTGGTTGAAAAAAAATTAGATCCTTAAAAAAATATATATATATTCTTTCTTTCAAAATGATAGGTTGAAAGTCTTTTTTTTTTTTTTTCCATTTCTTTCTTCGAAAGAGACGAACTGAAAATCTTTTTAATTTTCTTTCCTTCAAAAGATATTAACTGACAATATTCAAATTAATTTTTTTCCCTCTAAAACAAATTGGTAGAAATTCTGTTGAATTTTCTCTCTCATTTTCTCGGCGAAAGAGATTGGTATATGAAAACATTTTTGATTTCTTCTTTAAGGAACTGGCTTTTCTGTTTTTGATAAAACTATAAAATCGAAATTTTTTTTCAGAGAGAAGATGGTAACATATCCTTTCCCTACAAGAAATTGTTAGTAAGTCTATATTCTCTATTTCTAAATCTATACTACACCACGATTCGATTCGTCACTCAATAATACATTCATAAGCTGTCATTTTTTATAAAAACAATAAAATGAAGCTTAGAAAATTCGAAATGAAAACTTTCACTAATTTGTATACGCTTTGATTTAAACACTTTTTAGTTTTTCTACTGTAAGTTCAAACACTTAAAGGTAAGAGATAATTACCCCTTTTGAGTGGTATTATCTTGTTCTCTAAGATATCTCTAGCGTCTGTCCCTTCGTCCATCAAGTCCAGCTTAGTCAAAACTCCAATAGTTCTCTCTCCTGAAACAGAGAATATATTAGCATTGAAAATAAACTTGTTTCGATTTCTATCAACTATCATACTGAATACTGTTATCAACTTACGTTCAGGATCGGCAACTTTTGCTATGTTTAGAGCATCCGAATTGGCAATATCTTGATTGGCTGGGGTCACGGCTAGGATGAGGCAGTTTGGTTGACTGATGTAGTTCAGTACCATTTCTTGAATTTGGTTGATACTGTCCTCGGACTGACCACTTACTGCAATCCTGATCATTCCAGGAAGATCCACCAGTGTCAACTTCAACACTGAGATAGATAAATAGAATAAAATATACTTATCATTTTATAATTTTCCTAGTATCATTTCATCGTCGACATGACATCACGAGTAAGCAATTATCTGTCTGACTCCACCACGACCATATTATTTTTTAATTTACTGAAGAATCATTCATGGGGTAATTCAAAAAGAGTGAAACAATTGTTTGGAGCTACAGTGTATTAGGGAAAAAGTCTTGGTGGAAGATTTATAACCTTCTTTTCGATGCAACTGAAATGCTATGAAGTTTTATAGCTTTCTGTACACTTCTGGCACACCATTTGTGTTTCCGACCATGAGGCAAAAATTGGTTTCCAGTGATAAATAAGTTGTACTTCCTATCCTCGGGGAGGGACGAGGCTACCGAAAATTCGGGAATTTTCCAGTGGCACCGATGCCACCTTATCACGAAAGATATCGAAACCCTTCTGTTATGGTAAATTTTAGGAAAGTCCTTCTATCAAAGAAATCAACATGAGGACTTATATTTTAGGGAAAAGACATCAGTTCGAACATTTAAAAAAATTTTCTTTACATTTTAAACATTAGTTAAAAGGCTTCGAAATCGTTCTAAAACTGTGCAAACACTCTCTGTAAATTCTATCATTTGTACAGGGTGCGAAAGCGTTCATAGTAGGATATTAAAAACACACTATAAGGCAGTTACTGCAATTTATTTATTACCTCTTATGTCAATTAATAGTTAAAGGTATGCCATTTACTAATACGTAAGTCATTGTCCATTGCTTGGATTACTTTTTGAATATGATGCCTGTCAAATGATGGCCCCCTCTGCACAACACATTCATCTAGGCGGCGTTGGAAGCTTGTCCTAACTCGGCGTAACGTATTCCCCGGGACATTACCGACGGCAGTTCTGATGCGATCCTTCAACTCAGAAATGGTGGCACAACGTGTTCAGAAAACTTCTTGTTTCAGGTTCTTCTTGTTCGAAAAAGTCTGCACATGAAAGATCAGGTGAGCGAGACGGCTCAGGTCTCGCTCACCTGAGCCGTCTCATCAAAAGGGGAAATTACTCTACCTGGAAATGTCTGTCGCAATGGTCCGTCCATCTGGAGCTTTCCCATGACGTCCCAAGTTTAAATGTTGCCGAAATAGACGCTGGGTAGCAGTAACAGAGTAGTTATTCTTGAAATAACTTTCAACAGCAAAGGCACGATGCTGTGCACTGCACCGATCCATATTACTGTCGTACTCGAAATGGCAGCTCATTAGTACACGAATGCGACACGAGCTGGTGCGCATTCATGCAGTACGCCATTGTACTACGCAAGTCTATGAAGTCAAATTACGCTATATAAGTGAAATTAAACTTCGCGAAATGTGTGAGGAAATATGAAAAGGCATCTTACACAGGAGTGGTAACAAATAAAGGTATAAAAAATATTGCATCACTGACTAAGTACATAAGAATTCAAAATAAAATTGCTCGTACCATGTGGAGAAAAGATTTTGAGACTTATGGGCTTCGTCGAGAATCCCTTTGGTCCGGGTTCTCTGTTGGTTTCATCCATTATTTCTTTCCTAATGAGTTCGAAGTCGGTGAATTTTTCATCTTCTTTATGCAGAAAAACACCATATTTTGCGTAAAAGCAGATAGTTTTAGATTAGTTAAGAATATCCGCTAAAAGCAAAGAAATTAGAGCAGAAGAAGGGAGTATATAATACAGAAAGTGAATCCACTCGGAGGTCATAATGCTGTACGGTCAATGGATACTCGCAAATTTTTGTTTTTAATTTCTAAAAAGTACGATATCACATTCTAGAGCAGTGGTCGCCAAATTTATCAAGCTTCTGAATTACTGTGCCATTTTCAAATCCTACTGTGAGCCACAAACCAAAAGAACTATAGTTCGACAGTCTCAAGTGCAACCCTGGTTGGCATTCTGCCAAAACACAAAGACTCGTCCAAAAGGAGCGGTATTACTTGCTGCGACGTGAAAGGTCTTCTCTTCTCCGGAAAGAGCCATGATGGAGGGAAAGAAAGTCCCCATCCTTCCACCCTATTTTGACAATAATTCGGGTCCGAATGGCGCATGCGTGTTTGCGCTCATGGTCGCGGATGAGGCGGTCGAACTATACCATTTTTTTTTTTTTTTTAAACCTTGCATTTTTTTATTGCCTGCAAACTTACATTTCTAGTAAATATGAAATAAATTCTAATTAAACTGTATATAACAAAACGAAACTGAAATTGAGTTATACTAAGAAAGAAAAGGAAGTGTAGTTACTAATAAATAACAAATGTAATGACAGTTTTTTTTATCAGACTTAACTTCAATCATAAGGATGGAACTCTTTTCTGTCATCAACAAGGTTTTTAGTGTTGGGAGAGTAGGTAGTGGCTGCCATTCGAATAAAGTTGTTCAAGTGTTCATCAGTGAGTCTGTTTCTGTACTTAATAAATTTCCTGCTGAAAAAAGAAATCGCAAACAGATATGTAGAGCTGAATATTGCCTTCACTTTGAGACAAACCTGGACCAAAATTGGGTATTTTTCTTTAGAAGCAAGAGGCCAAATATTTTCAGTTTGAAGAAAGCGATTTTACAGATATATCAACTTGAAACTAATCAGTTTCAACTCTAGAAAGTTGTCGTCAGCGTCAGCTCAGTGGAGGAATCAAGTTTAAGCATCCGGAATGTTAACACGTTCTATCGAAAATGTCCCCGAAAGGGCGATCACTGTTCTAGAGCATCGGAAAGACTCCCTGATTATATTTCAGACATGTGTGACAAATTTTCCTTGTATTTATAACTTTTGAAACGTTAAAAGCATGCTGAAAACTATGCATTAACGCGCATATTTTCTGTTTATGAAAGGAAAATAAGACTGATTGTAAGCAAATAATATCAAAGCCGTTCCTTCTTTTTATATACGCAGTGCGTCTACAAAAATTTAGAAGGAAAATAGTATAAATGGAAAGCTTATGGAGATCCAGAAGAAAATATTCTTTAAGAAGCCGACTTGACGGTTATACAAACCGAAATTAACACAAACTGGCTTCTGCTAACCAGTGGGGGAGAATAATGGCTTCTTACCACGTATTCAAAACAAACTGAATGGTTATTCACAATATTAAAAACGTAACTTCAACATCGGCTGCTCCTGACTTCTCAATCATGAACAATCCCAGCAAGCGAACTGAAGCAAATAACAGAAAAATGTGGGTGAACACTTAGGCAGCCTAAGCTAACAAACGTTGTCCAAAACATTTTGAAATTATTTAAAACTAATATGCCTTCTGGTGGAAGTCGACAAGTACAGAGATACAGAATAGACAAAATAATAAGATATAAATAGTTAATTAAAATAAAACCTGAGTCACAAACGCCCATATAAGCATGCACGCATGAAAAAAAAAGGAGGGAAACAAGGTATATATATTTTTATAAATAGAATCTGTTTATAAAGTGGGAAACAGACTTCACTTAGAGCCACAAGATTTTGAATGCACGTAGTCTTCCATCTGAACATATGAACCTCAAAGCACAAAATTTCAACTTCGAAATGCAAAATGCAATTTTAGCAAATTCTACAAAATGAAAGTTATTTATTTTTCAGTCGTGAAGAATTAAATATTGCGCAGCTCTGTATATTTTATTATAACTTGGCTCAAAATGTTCACAATATTTAATACACTACAAGTAACTATGCTGGAAGGTTTATTTATGTTATTTAAACAGTTATTTCATGTGCTGAACCTGTGCTGTCACTTCTCTCTTTCCGTTCGCCTTCCAGAATGCAAACTAAAACTGGCGCGTATTTAAGTGAGGGTTTGTGATTGTTTAGATAGAGCGTGCCTACTGAAGACCAGGTAACTAGTTTGCTATTCTACGATAAGAGTTTCTCTCATCGGTGTTCTGCAAGCGACATTGTACGCTTAAGGGCCAACTTTTGTGGTTAAATTACTTTGCGTAACCTTTGGACTAATTGATACTCAGATTTAGTTTAAAATTTATAAGACTAGTTTGGGTTCTTGCCATTATCGCTGGCGAATTTGTAAGCCTGCTGCTTGTACTGCTTTCTGCACTGGTACGCTGGTGTTACACCATTAGACCTGGCATGTAACTATTTAAAAAGCGATGTGTTGCCAGTGCCCGAAATAGAATACTTTTAACTTCCACGCGCCAGCGTCTTGCATTCATGAAAGTGTAAGATATTTAACGTTCAGGCTTATTCTACCTGCTATTGATTAACAAATCAAGCAATTTAAAAGCAATAAATGCGGTTCTTAAGAACACGTTTACGACTTTTTAATCTGATTGATTTAAATAAAAATGCATTTAAATCAGAGGATATCTAATTAAAATATTAAATATATTTTTGAACTTACACTAAATGGACTCATTAAAATCATTATATATTTTTTCCGTTTTATGATGGTTATTTTAGGCTGTTGACCGGCCAAGCGACTAATAGAATAAAAAATTGAAAACCCGAACCTTCTCCTGAAGTTGGTTGCAGTTGCACAACTGTTGGTCTTCTAGTAACGACTCCAGATCCACGAGGCAGAAAGTCCCTGGAAAAGAAGGGGAAAGGTATCAGAATATTTTTTTCTTTTTTATAATATTTTTTATAAAAATCTTCAATTTGTGGCATTCATTCTTCTCACTACTGTAAGTAGTTGCAAGTTAAGTTGCAAGTTAAGTAGCTCAATGGTCTCAAACTCAAGTTGCAAGCTGGACCAATGCACGATCTGAAAACAGTTGACGGAAGAAATTTTTTTAAATAAAATGGAAATTTTTTATTAGCAAAATAAAAAAAAAATATTTCAACGAATTTTAAATTTCGCTTACTAAATATTTCCCATAAAATACATAAACAGTAATAATAATATTGTAAACAGGAAAAAAAATTCAGATTTTATTATTTACTTTTTTTCTATCTGAAATCTAAAGTTTGGCAACTGCAAGACATTTTTGTTGGTTACATTTTGTAATTCTTATATATTAAGAGTTAGACATTAAATTTTCAGACTGACATTTATTTCAAATAGCTCTAATATGGTTCATTAATCCTTAAATACTTTTCTTTAATTTAAATTATAAATAAACAAGTTATGAAAACTTTCTAAGTTTCCAGAGAACATTTTCCAAATGGTACAAAATTTGAAAATGAATAATAACAATCTCGTTTCGGTCTCTCATTGATTGAACTTTTCTTCGACGTATAAATAAAAATACAAATGTTCGTACGTAGATAGTTATAAACTTCTTTATTTCTTACTACAGCTTGACACTTTTGATGGCGATTGGATTCTGATACAATCTGCAAACTTGGAGAGAAATTACTAAAAATTATATTTACCACGGATTGTAGATGCTGTTAGGTCAAACAGGTTCTTTTCTTATTAATTTTCAACTGTGGGGAGCTGTTACCATGTAAATGTGTTTCCAAACAAAGCGATTATTCTTTGTGCAAAAATTCGTAAATGAAGTTATTTACTGTTTAACAAGTACCAGCAAAAGTAAATAAAATCTGTATTTTGAAACCTTCGAGTAAGGTTTATATCACATTCTAAATTAATTATCTAATTCTAAATTATATTATATTAATCTAAATTATATTATATTAATTCTAAATTATATTATATTAATCGTTTGTAGATTTTCCTCTGCGTTTGATGACGACGAAAATATTGTAAACTCAGACTTTAAAAAATTATAATTTTGAAATCTTTGCGACAAATGCATAACTAAAAATGTACTTGTCGATCGTATAAGATAAGATAAGATAAAATATTGGACATTCCTCGTTCCGTTAGACTTAACAACACTACGAGTCTGACATAACCGTCGAGCCAGGCCCAGGGTGTTCAACCCCTGTCCTTGGAGAGGGCCACCGCCCTTTGGCGGCACTGGTTGTCAATTTGCTATCTACCAGTCACATGGGCTGCCCGTTGCCCAAGGACATTACACAGAAAAGCCTAGCTAGATGTTACTAGAGCCTTGAGCTGTAGGAGGTGCCAGACCCACGGGCCGATCGAAAAGCGATCTTTCCGGGGCCTCTAGAACTACTAGGTTCATTATTTGTATGCCCCTGTGGCCGAGACTAGCTAGGTTCAGATTCTAGCCAGTAGCTTTGTAGAGTTTTTCTAAGTCAAGCTACGGGGCGGGGGGAGAGTCACATAAAATTGCTTCGGCAGCCTCCAATTTGAAACCACTATTGTAACTTACAAATTTCGAATTCTCACCGTATGAGGTAAACCAATAGATTGCATTGATTTATAGTTACGACCAACATTCGATTTGTACATAAAAATAATAATAATAATAAAAAAAAGGATTATGCTGTGCGTTCTTGATTATTTAAGCTAATGCTAGGTAAGCTAAAGTCGGATAACTGAAAAACACGGATAACTCAAAGTATAAATATTCATACCATATTGTATGAGTTTATATCTTAAAAATCAGTGATTTAACTTTGTTTTTGAGAGCGTTTAAATATTTGCCCACTTTCGTTGCATATTTTTCGTAGGGCTATTTTATCATTGTATTCGAGTCCCATTTAATCGACGAAGTCCAATAGAGTTCAGCAGAAGTCATTGCTGGTAATGTAAATTATTACCCGTATGTTCTTCACTTGTATTTTCAGTTTCACTTTCTGAATTTTCTATTCTTGTGATGTCTGAAACGATATCCGCATTACTGCAGCCCTGAAAGCTCGTCTCAGTCGAATCACCATCGAACCATTCATGGATGCTTTCCTGATCGACATTTTCGAACAATTTTACATTTTCAATTTTTTAGCATATTAAATATTAATAACATAACTTTTTAGCATAGTTTTAGCCGGGGATGCGTTCGATTTTCAGGCATCAAGAAGAATTACTATTGGCAAAATCAAGGATTTCTATTATTATTGCTGGAAAAAGAAACGGAGCATTTCGGGAAAAAAAAGAAAGATTATTTGTTGAACTCAAGTTCAAAGATTGAAGTTTCTAAAAGTATAAGAATGATATGCGATTTTGATTATAAGAGTTTAGATTTGCAAAGGATTTGTGAACTTTATAAATGTCTAATGTTTTTAACTGTATTTGGGTGTGTGGCATTTAACCTGAGGCCGATTATTATCGGCCAGGAGAGTTGCAGCACACTCGTGCATTACATTAGATTACTGCTTTCAGTTATTGCCTTGTATGGCATACAGTATACTTGCTTTTATTTTTTGTGGCCTGTTCTTTATTAATTTTTTAGTTCTAAAGTTCGAAATCAATTTTTAAATGAATAAGAAGAAAATATGTACGAAACCTTGTACAGAACAAAAATATTCCCATAATCAACTAAAGAGATGCCTTCGACTATGCACAAGCAGAACGAATTGTACGAAGTAATCGTTGAAACTAAACTTAAAGACGCAATTCAGCGATTTTTCGAACTTGCTCGGACTTGAGCGTATTTGCTTTTTACACTCTCCCGTGAGCACCACCAAGCACGGATAATCTGCACACCGATGATTCGCACTCGGATAATCAAGAGTACTCAATGTCTGGGAAGCTCAGTAAAATAAACTGCTTCTGTTCCCCAACAAATATATTGCTTTATAAGGTATTTCTCACGTCTTCCTAGCGTGGCTTCGTGGTGTAGTGGGCAGCACGCTCGACGCGAATTCGAGAGATCCGTGGGTGGAGTCCCGGCGAGGGCATTGCTCATTTTACATCTTTCCTGCTTCGAAATAACCTAATGTCTCTACAGATCTAACAGAAAGACAGCCAACAAAACAAACCTTTTGACGAAGTTTTCAAGCACGCTGCTTTTGCCTGCGCTTTGACAGCCAACTACCACGATCTGAGGCAAGGAGACGTCCAAGCTGTGCCCACTGGCGGCCAGTTTATTCTGCAGCTCGTTGACGATGTCTATGAGATCACGATCTCCCTTTTCCGTCACTGAAACATCTGAAAAGGACATTTCAATTACGATTAATTAATAATATGGGTACTATTTCGTTTTGAGGACCGTAAGGAAAAATTGGAGCGAAAATGTATGCGCAAAAGCACCAAATCTAGCAAGCGCGCCCATTTAACAGCGCCCCAAATCTAGCGTACGCGCCGATTTCAGATTGCGTAAGTTTATATAGTTCTATATTTATTAAGACGCCATTGAAATACCAGTTTAATTTTAAATCCTTTTTTGATATTCTATGGATTTGACAATTTAGGAATTGCCCATGACGAAAAGTCTGCAATAGAATTTTGGGTAACGTGGCAGAATCATCCACTGCTTGACGCGTTTTTAAGAATTGCACATACTCGTTATCCATGTACTCAGCGACCTATTTTCACTTAAAAAAAAAAAAAAAAAAATCCCAGAATTGCACAAAAATGGCACTGCGCACACCCTTGATTTTATCTATGTACACATTGACCTATTTTCACTTAAAAAGTAAAAGAAAATTGACAAAAATCCAATTGTTTTTACCCTTGTAAAAAGCGGCAAAAAAATAAGTGGGCGATTCTGCCCTTTACCGAGAATTTTTTCAAGGCATCATTTATAATGAAAATTATGTTTGAACAACCAACGATATGAAATTATGCTTTAGCGATAACTCGGTAGCAAAAAAGCGATGCAGGCATCCATTCAGTTACGTTTAGCAATTTTTATATAAATTAGAATAATGATCTGAAATAGTTAGTTACTCTTATGCTTCTATTCAGTCATGTTTAACCTTTTTTATATAAATTATAATAATAAAAACGTATTATATGAAATTAACCTTTCATCTAAATTAAAACATCAATCTTAGATAGTTATTTACTATTTATTATACTTCCTTTCTTGCGTTAGAGTTGCCGCAATTATTTTTGGCAGCATTGGTATCAAAAATAGTTTGGCGATTTTGTACGGCCCTCAAAACCGAATAGTACCATAATAGGAGATTTTCATTTCTTGCACTTTCCTGTTTTCATTTTCCGTCACATTCAAATACGCCTATATTGATATTTTAGTTACGCCGGCAAGAGATTATATTAGAATTTTGGATGTTTAGATTTAGATTTTGCAACAGATTATCGAATTATTTTAATATTCCTGTTGGATTTAAATTCTAAATATTAATTTCTTAAATGCTTCAGAACAATTTGTCTTACATACCATACTTTCTCGAATATTCCCTTCCTCCAGCTTTTTAGAGTCAGGCCTGAAAATTTAAAAAATACTCGTGTAACTTCCCCTTCCTTAACGCGTTCACAGAACGAGCTCAACTGAATTTTAAAATGCAATCGTCTATGCAGTGAATGATTTCGTCTTACTTAAACTCCTACCATATGTAGCGACGCGCGCAGCTAGGCGGGACATTTCCAAGGAACGAGATTCCGTAGCAATGGTTTAAACGAGAGGTTTCCGAGAAATGTTCCGTCTAGCCGAGGAAGCGGTGTCCCGAATAAGAGGAACATTTTGAAACTTTTTCAAAAATGTTTCGTTTACAGCCATGTTCAATCAGATGAAAGTTCTGCTTCTGAAGGATCACGGGTAATTTTCAATATTGCAATGGCTGCAATTGTGAGATCCTAGAGGGTGGAAATAGAAGCCGATTTAATCGAAGAAATACGGAAAAAGCCGTATATATATATATATGTCATAATAAAAGAACAAAGAAAAGACGGAACACTGTAGATGCGTGATTAGATCGATATTGAAGAAGAATTTTGATTGCGTAGTATTTAAAGAACTTGGCAGTCGAGGCAGTTTTAATTCCATTTTTATTTCCAATCGATATTTGTGGCCACAATCACATGGCACTCTAGTCGTGCCTTTCCACAGAAGATTTACATTTTTGATATTGTTGGGATAGAAAGCAAGCCAGCGAAATTACATCTTAGGACAGTAGAGAGCAAAAGCTGAAGTGCGTAGTTATGCAAGATGGAGGCACGCGAAGAGAAAAGTTTTGGTTTACAAAGACAGTTTCAGTTCCCAATGATTACGTCATCAGAGCTGCGCCGATCATAGAGTGATCTAGAAATGACGCAATGCAAAGAAGTTATTACGATTTTAGAATAGAGAGGAAGAATTAATGTTTATAATTATATTATAATTCTGATTCATATATTTTTATCTTACATAGACGCAATGCAGAGAAGTTATTACGATTTTAGAATAGACAGGAAGAATTAATGTTTTTAGTTATAATTCTGATTCATACATTTTTATCTTACATATTTCCCCCCTTCAAAAAGAAAAAGGCGTAGCGACAGAGAAGCCTTTTTAAAGAGAAAGAGTTAAAACACTAGCAAATGTAAAAAAAAAATAAAAATAAATAAATCATAAAATTTTTGTCCTGTAAAGTATAATTTATAAATATCAATTTTTTTTTAAATAAATTTTTAATTTTTAGAGTCCTATTGAATTTTTCAGCATTTCAGTCCAAAAGTCTTTTTGTTTGAGAATTCACATAATCATAATTCTTCAGGGAAGGTTCTTGTTATTACAGAATATAAACAAAATAAACTTTACATAATCATTACTTATAAATAAATGTAAGGAACATAAATATTTATGATATTAATTTTCATATTGATAAATTATATTTTAATACCGTATAATAATAGGATTAATATTTTCAGAATTTATGGTTTCACTGTTATCATCTTTCATTTACAATTCCTGTATTTTACCAAACTGGAAGCCTCGCAATATTTCTAAACAAACATATCCATCAATAGGGCTGTCCTCTTGAGCTAACCAGTGTGTTCTATGCACTGGTGGCCCAGGGTGCCTAGACAGTTACTTGAAAAGGCCTCCGTTCCTTGCATTAAGGTAACTGGCCTTTGAGAACTGCACTAATACATTCCATAATAAAAAAAATATAATAATAATAATAATATAAAAAATTTACATGCATTCATAAAATGAGAGCCTCCAACATTATCTTGCATGAAGAGGGTAAAAGGAACAACTGTACAGAGGTAATTACAGGCTCTGTTGAAGGAACTAGTACACCCTCATCATACTATACTTGACACACAATAACCCATAAATTTTAACATGCATTTACCATAACTTCATATTACATATCTGTAATAAGTTTCACTTATTTTTTACAACCTACTTCATTTTTAGAAAATTATAAAATTCGTATTCAAAATTCTCAACAAAATTTCGAAAACATAAAAACTTATCTTATATCCTTCCCTATGAATAATTTTAAATAGCTTAAAAATTAATTACTTAATTTGCTCACACATAATTATGAAAAATTAGAAAAATTAATTAACAAGAATTTCAGATTTTCTCAAAACAAATTGCAGAAATTTTAACCAAAGTTGAAATGAAAACTATAGAACCCGCAGCACATTAAATAATTTAGTTCCTGAGCTAGATTCACACGAATGTAATAATTTTTGAGCTGTTGAAAAAGCGGAAGTGCAAATAATTTTCTGTCGCACATAGTTGCAAACACTAACTCAGATCGACCTTGCACCGTCACCGTCGAGATAGATAAGGCCTGCGCTCTGAAACGAAACTGGCTTGTGACGTCACGGTTAAGGGACCCTCAGCAAACTTTTTATCGGCTTTTATTTATAAGTTGTAATTTTTTATTCATTATGTTTTAAGAATTGAATTTATGTTTACTTTTGACATCTGAAGCATCATCCCTTGTAATAATTACTAACACTAGTAATATAAAAATTGTCAGCAAAATTTATGATTATTTATTTTAATTGGAAACTAATTTTATATGAAATAACTGTCCTAAGGGGTTAAAAAGCATAACACTTATTTCATTACATAATATGTAGAATATCAAATGCAGAGTAAATTTGATTCTTGGCAGAGTACTTTGTTCTTAAATTTAAATATCAATGTTTTTTGCAATCATTAAATATCATTTTATCATGATGAAACTTAAATGCATATGTTTAGCTAATATAGCTTCTGTTCACTTTTATATATGTTATTATCATGCAATCAGTTTGTTTAAAATTTTTTACGCAATATAAATCTTTCTGAGAATGATAGAAAAGTTTCTAAAGTAATGTATGTAAGATTCATATTAAGGTATTAAATTGCGAAACTGCAAAATGAAATTTTAAAAATGTACAGTTATTGAAGAAGAAGTAGCAGTAGTGTAATTGAATTCATATGTAGACATACTTTTTTTCATTGTATTTCAATTCAATGCAATTTTAAAAAACAATTTTTTAATTATCTTTTAAATTACAATCTTTAATTTGAGTACATGGCAACACCAAAAGCTATGTAAGTTAAGTTAAAATAATTGCTTACATTATACAGAAAAGTTTTGAACATGATGTTAGGATTTATATTTTCTTTTTATGTGGATATTAATAGAAAAAATATTTTCAGAACAGAGGTAACGCTTATAGTTAAATAGGTATGATGTAAAGAAATTTCAGTTTCTAAAAGTTTTTTAAGTATTTCGTATATTTTAAAAATATTTTCAAAAAAATTGTGTATAACTATATTTAAGAAACTTTTTTCCTGTCTTATTTGGAATTTTAATATTGATAGTCTTCAGAGCTATGTAATAAACATTATCTCAATTTAACTACAGATTCTGTCGAATAATTATGTAGCATTAAGAGGAAAACATTAAGTGTAATACAGATTAACATACAATATGTAAGTAAGAAATAATTTTAAGACTAGACTATTTAGTAATTTATTACATTCAGAAAAATTTTCTGACTGATATAAGGCATTTAAATGTTAGTCTAAATATTAAGTAGTCTCTTGCATTCGTTTGATGTTTTATAATCCTGCTACATTAATATGATAGATATAAAATATACAATAATTATAGAATGAGGGATAAATGTGTTCCCAATGGCAAACATTTTGTTAAAGAGTGTGGGTGAAACAAAAAAATTTGATGCGGTGATGAGAATCAACAAGAGACACAAAGACAGTGCAGAAAAATCAAAGTAAAAATTTTAGC